CAACTCGAACCATACCCGTCTAGACATTTCTGGAACCAGTCGGACCGGCTAAGTCGGAATCGGAACCAGTCGGACCCGTTTCCTAAAAGTCATCAATTCAAACTATTTGTAGGGTATCATTAGCTGCGTCATGTAAAAAAGTCTTCCCAACTGGGATACTTATGAGCTACCTGAAGAATCTTGAGCTACCTGCTACAGTGGTGCAAAGCAACATAGGTACATGAGCAAATGCTTCATTTCCATTCACTCCATATCTTGCGATCATGTGTAGTGTGCGAGATGTATGGTTTATTGAAGGACCCGGTTGGACCCGTAAGAAAATTTCCAGGAACCGGTCTGGCTGGACCAATAGTTATGTACTTTACACAATGCACTTTTATCACTTTTATCCTGGATTTCCACGCACTCATGGGGGTTGTTTGAACAGTCCTTCTAACTCGGCTCCTGGATTACGTAGCGGCACGCGATGGGCGGCGTTCGAAAGAGCTACACAGATAATGACGAAATGACTCGGGTTATATTCAGGTCAGGTCAAAAGTCAGGGCACCAGAGGTCATCGAAGGTCAAATTTGTCAATGTGTACAGGGTGTTTCGAAAGTTTGTTGACAGGTACCAGTCATGCTTTTTCGTCAATAGTTCTGAATCAACGAGTAATTAAACGTCGAAATTTTGCATGGACATTGGTAACAATAAACAACCGCCCTCAAGCAGTGTCATTGCTTTCAAATTTATTCGACCCTTCATGAGCTCACAAAAAGGGTTTATCCCTGGCCATGGGTCAGGCATGAAAATGGATTTCGCAAAATCTTGTCAGTTGATAAACTCTAAGGAGTGATGGGAATGGTTAAGGTGACCATTCCACCTTAACATTAGTTTTGAGATAGCCAAATTGGGGTCCCTGGCTTGCACTTCACGACATTGAGAACTGCTTTAATTCGGAGATATGTATTTAATTTCAAACTTTCAGTTTTCAGATTCTAGGGGGCTAGCATTTGAATGCCTCCGCAGAATTTGTGAAGTGAGCGGAGATCTACCGATTTGTAAATCTTATACTTACACCATCGGTAAAACGTGGTGGTATTTACTGCTTGTGCTAACAGCTGCCGCACTTTAAGGATACAAAATTATTGCCTCCAAATGGCGTTGTAACAGCGGAGGTCCCAAAAAGTAAACAAAAATAAAAGTCGAATATCTTGAAAACCAGTGAATATTGTTCGGTAAAATTTGGTAGATATTCATTTTTGGATCTTTCTGAATAGAGGTGCCAAATGTAGACCCGAGTACCCGGTGCTAAGAGCCAGTGTGGGCTGTGGACCTGTATGGGTCCAGCCAGACCGGTTCCTGGAAACTTTCTTACGGGTCCAACCGGGTCCTTCAATAAACCATACAACTCGCACACTACACATGATTGCAAGATATGGAGTGAATGGAAAGGAAGCATTTGCTCATGTATGTTGCTTTGCACACTGTAGCAGGTAGCTCCAAGATTTTTCAGGTAGCTCATAAGTATCCCCAGTTGGGAAAAGACTTTTTTTACATGATGCAGCTAATGATACCTACAAATAGTTTGAACTGATTGACTCTTAGGAAACGGGTCCAACTGGTTCCGATTCCGACTTAGGCCGGGTCCGACTGGTTCCAGAAATGTCAAGCCGGGTCTGGTTCGAGTCTGGTTCCCAAAATTTTCACCTTTTGCCACCTCTTTTTTAACTACGGGACATCACTTTTATGCCAATTCATTACTTTTTGAAGGTGGGAGGGTTCCATTAAGTTGGAACTGATGCATGGCAATGTTTTGGCGAGGGTGGGTACAGATGATGATTATCCATAAAAAATGGGATGATTTTTTTTAGGGAAGAAACCATGCGGGACTAACAGTGTTTTGAACGACCTCACACGACAGCAGACTCTTGTGCCGGAAAACAGCTGAGGATGCGGTGAAAACTGAAAACTATTGAAAACTGGCAAGGAGCTCACAAGTAAAGGCTGCCAAGTTTTAGAAATAGCAGGTCGTCGTAAGATAACGACAAAGCATCTCTTAGAATTATCCATAATATCTATTATGATAACATTTTCAGAAAAATCACTCAAAAGTCAATTTCAAGGAAAATTGACAAAACAAGTCAATTGATGTAAAGTTTTATCATAGAAAGTTTCAAGGGTGAGGCATAATAATCCAGAGGAGTTCACCAGATTGACAGCTTTTGGTGTTGAGCGGTTGGATACAGTCGGTTGAATACAGTATAGTTCAGCAAACGCCTTTTTTTTAGCAAGCATTGATATTCAGTCTCACCAAACAATCCTAATATTCTTTTTTTTTCAGGTATCTCGCCTGCAAGGCAAAGACTGGCACCTGGCTCTGATCGGCTATCGGCGAGGTAAGAAGACGACGCTGAAGTTTGACACCTTCGGGGACGACGAGCTGGACAGGGCGTTTAAATGTGTGGGCGCTGACGGCAGAAAAACGCCAAATCAAGCCGAGGAGCTCATCATGAAGAGCTTCTACCGCTGTAAGTGTCTATTCTAATTTGGCAGATGGCTGTATATACACCTTTGTACGCCCAGAGCCCTGTTCGGGTCCGCGCAAAATATTTTGCTGAGTGTGAAGTCACACATGCGATGATGTCAGCCGCCTGGCTCCGCCCCCTCTCCGCCGGCCCTGCAAAGCCGAGGGCCACGCGACACGCGGCGAACCGTGGCGCGGATGGACTGGTGTGTTTCGTTTAATTACTGAGTAAAATGCGTTCAAATGTGGTTAATAGCAATGTGCCACTGAAAAGAAAGATAATGATACCAAAATAACACCTTACTAACCACTTACAATAAGAAATATATGAGGGTAAACCTAAATTCGCGCCACTTTCGCCTCCTGCAGCTACTATTTTCTTCTTGCGCAAAACTGAAAGATTTTGCGCGAGCGTACGTCACACGTGTGACGTCATACGCCGAAGGGCGGAGCTTGGCACCCGAGAGACCCCAACTGCGCATGCGTGGTGCAAAATTTTGCAATAGGATGCGCTGCCCGAACAGCACTCAGGTTAGGCGCCAGTGCACACATTTCAGTAATAATGCAGGCGATTTCAACAGTACAGCGTAGTGCATTCATATATTGAATCGCGGCACGATATTCGTCACAGAGTGCATTTCGTCGTAGTGCATGTGAAAGTGGCCCAGATTAAAGTATATTAGGCATAGCGCATGTCATTCGTCAGATCTTTTCAGTGTCGGGGTGCGGTATAATTTAGGCACTGTTCAGTAAGTTCGGCGTTACATTAACCCGCGCCCGGCTGGGGGTCCTGGATTTCCACGCCCTGCTGGGGGCGTGGATTATGGTGATATTATGGTGTTTGAACGCCCCCCCCCCCTTCTAACTCGGCTCCTGGGCCACGTAGCGATACGCGGAAGGTGGCGTTCAAAAGAGCGTCAAAAATAAGGAAGAAATCACTTCGACCACTTTTTGGCCAGGTCATTAGAGGTCAGTGAAGGCCAAAATTCGCCGATTTGTAGGTCAGATGTCGAAAACTTTCAACAAAGCGACGTACAGTTCGGAAACTAATAAAGCTACAGCGCCGCGGAAAAAAAAAACTCATTTGATAGCCCTATTAACGTTCTTTCTGAATAATTCCCTCGGATTTGACCTACCGTCAATGGTTTTGCCTGCAGGGGGCAAAAACTGCCAAAATAGCCGATTTTTTCGGAAATGGTTTTTTCTGCAACAACTTCTGACTCAAACCTTGCACGAACTTTCTTTTACCAGCGTCGTGTTCCTCTCGTCAAGACGCGTCGAATGAGTTATCACTTCACCTTGAAAGGTCAACTTAAAATCAGGTCAAGGTCATAACCTGACCGGTTAGGGTGAAGTTGCATATCAGTCGATCCGTATCGTCGAGCCAAACACAACCAAGATGTTTTCATCGCTCTAGCATGCCTCTATCAAAAGTTATTCGCGAAAAACAGTCAGATACCATTAATTCCATATGATGAGGTGTGCCAAAAACGGCGGCGCGTTCTCGAAAAACCGGGAGGGGGGGGGGGTGTTCAAACACCCTCCCCCCCCGCAGGGCGCGGGTTAATAAGCAATAACAGCTTTTTAGACAGCCCACGCTACCTGAGCCTCCAATGACATTCGGTAGGCAGTAACATGCGAATTATTCCAGATTGATTTCCATTTCTACAGTTGACTGCAGAATGATGCCACTCCTCAAAGGCTATCAGTTGACATAAATAAGTAATCATGAATTTTTCTCGCATTTGTTACAGCTTTTAACGGAGCGGCGCATAACTCCGGGATTAATAGTATCCCAATATCTCAATATACCATGAATGACTTCATACACGGTCAACCCTGACTACCTTGGGGCCTTTTTGCTCTTGGGCAACTGTATGGTCATGCGACGTCATCAACCGCTCGTCGCATCTTGCTTCGTTCTCGAGATCCCAGGGGAGGGGGCGTTCCGCCCCCCCCCCCCGTCTGTTCCAAGTTGGCGCGGACCTCCGTCGGTGCGCGGGTCGATGCATGCTTAATGCTTAGCAATAGCATTAACCAAAACCAAAATAGCATTAATGTATTTAGCAATAATACTAAAATATTCAAATTAACATACACAGCAATATAGTATTGTTCGCTTCCACAACTTTGTCTGAGCACTAACACATTTCCAGCGTTGTTAAAAATTGTTATGATTTATCCAATTTATAACTCTGGTAATAGAACACATATAAATACCCCCCCCCCCCCCCCATTAGTTGACACGTGCCTCTACGATCTCCTAGAATCTAGATGCATTAAGAGTTGCCAGTTACGGTGTAAAAGGGTGTATGAGCCTCTTGAAAGCGTTAGAGTCCGGGCCGGGGCTGGCTTCTCGTACTCAGATTTTGTGTTGAAAGACTGACTCACCACGCGCTTTGATCCCGCTCATAACTTTTTTTTCTTTTCCAGTCGTTCGGCTTAACTGTCGCCGAGTTCAAGAGATGCCGGGCTTCCCTGGGCTGCAATGTGCCAGCTGCAAAGGACCGATGGGCGTGAATGCAGCCGACGATCCTGCTTCGGATGAAGAAGACGAGCATGGGGCCACAGACGATGAGACATCTTTTGACCGTCCCGCCCAGATCCAACCCACTTGTCCCGACCAGTCCACGTCCACCCGGCCCACCCAGTCCACGTCCATCCGGCCCATCCAGGTCCCCACTGTCCGCCCTGCCCAGGTCCCCGCTGTCCGCCCTGCCCAGGTCCCCGCTGTCCGCCCTGCCCAGATCCCATCCGTCCGCCCTGCCCAGATCCCATCCGTCCGCCCTGCCCAGGTCTCCGCTGTCCGTCCTGCCCAGATCCCATCCGTCCGCCCTGCCCAGGTCCCCGCTGTCCGCCCTGCCCAGGTCCCCGCTGTCCGTCCTGCCCAGGTCCCCGCTGTCCGTCTTGCCCAGGTCCCATCCGTCCGTCCTGCCCAGGTCCCCGCTGTCCGTCCTGCCCAGATCCCATCCGTCCGCCCTGCCCAGGTCCCCGCTGTCCGCCCTGCCCAGATCCCATCCGTCCGCCCTGCCCAGATCCCGTCTGTCCGCCCTGCCCAGGTCCCCGCTGTCCGTCCTGCCCAGGTCCCCGCTGTCCGCCCTGCCCAGGTCCCCGCTGTCCGCCCTGCCCAGGTCCCCGCTGTCCGCCCTGCCCAGGTCCCCGCTGTCCGCCCTGCCCAGGTCCCCGCTGTCCGTCCTGCCCAGGTCCCCGCTGTCCGCCCTGCCCAGGTCCCCGCTGTCCGCCCTGCCCAGGTCCCCGCTGTCCGCCCTACCCAGGTCCCCGCTGTCCGTCCTGCCCAGGTCCCCGCTGTCCGCCCTGCCCAGGTCCCCGCTGTCCGCCCTGCCCAGGTCCCCGCTGTCCGCCCTGCCCAGGTCCCCGCTGTCCGTCCTGCCCAGGTCCCCGCTGTCCGTCCTGCCCAGGTCCCCGCTGTCCGCCCTGCCCAGTCTACGGCCATCCGTCCTGCCCAGACCCTGTACATCCGTCCTGCCCAGACTACGGCCACTCGTCCCGTCCAGTCTTCGGCCACCCGTCCTGATCCGATCCGGTCCTCACGAGTTCGTCCCTATCCCTTCACCGAAGAGTCCGAGCCCCCCACCAAGGTCATCTACGTGGTCCGTAACTAGCCGAGACGTCAAGTGGTCCGGCATGTGACGTGGGCATATGACTTGTGCGCCAATCGTTTGGAAATACATGCCCTTTTTTGACATTGTGATCGTTTCATGTGTTTTGGGTAAGTCAGCCTGAACACAAATTGTTCGACAAGACATCAGTGCAGGATGCCCAATTTTCGGATATCGGTGCGGTTTATCGGCGATGTGCTAACATGCAGTAAGGTAAAAATGCGTCTTCAGAAATAGCAGAGAATGCAGCCTCCTGTGGCAGAGACCAATTGTCATCTAATCAGCAGCAGTTGTGAGGAGTAGGTATCATGGATGAAAGGGTAACCGGACAAAAGATCGTAAAGCAGGAGATCGTATTGCAGAAGAGCGTAGGAAATTGATCGTAATGGATAAAGATCGTGCGACATAATGCTCGTATGGACAAAATGTATTCGCTAAAGATCGTCAAGGAAAATGATCGTATGCCAAAAAAGTCGTAATGGATAAAGATCGTACGACATAATGCTCGTACGGACAAAAGATCGTATTCGCAAAAGATCGTCAAGGAAAATGATCGTATGTCAAAAGATCGTATGAGGAAAAGATCGTACAGTCAAAATATGGTATTCAGATGGTGCAGCCCAACTTCAGCGCATACAAAGCTTATCAATTTCTGTGTTCGCACAGGTCATTGGGGTCAGGGTCATAAAATTTTCAGGGTAGGTGACGTACAATTGGTCAGGGCTGCGGAGTCGGAGTCGGAGTCGGAGTCGGTCGGAGTCGACAGTTGTGACCGGAGTCGGAGTCGGAGTCGGAGTCGATTTTAGAAACCCGAGCCGGAGTCGGAGTCGTAGTCACCGAAAATCTGTCGACTCCGCAGCCCTGCTAGGTCTGCGGAGTCGGAGTCGGGAGTTGGAGTCGGTCGGAGTCGACAATTCTGCCCGGAGTCGGAGTCGGAGTCGGAGCTGGTTTTTGAAAGCCGGAGTCGGAGTCGGAGTCGCCGAAAATCCATCGACTCCGCAGCCCTGCAATTGGTTGACGCAGTTTCGTCGCGATCAGCCGCTTTCTTCGCGAGTTATTCGCGAAAAACCGAGGAGGGTCCGTTCGATCCCCCCCCCCCCTCCCCCAATACGGGCGAGGGTTAACCAGGCAGGCGGTGGGCCTCCCGGCCACCTTCCGCGCGGTGGGGGGGGGGGGTTGCCCCCCCCCCGTATCTCCGAAACTATTGGACGGATCCGGAAAATTCATAGCCCTGTCAAGTTTGTTGCAGGAAACCAAATTTCATTGACCTCGGGGTCACCGATGACGTCACAGGTCAGGTCAAAGAGTTCAACGTTCACGGGTCTTCTAGGGAAAGCGCTAGAACACCGAGTAATACGCATTTTGTCGAAAATCAGCGATAGGGCGTCAGTTGCCTAGTACATATGTTGCTATTAGAGGTCACTGGTCATACCAGGTCAGGTCACAGGTCAGGTCACCAAGGGTCACCACATGAACCCAACCCTAAGGTTGTGCGATGCATGTTTTATGGCCAATTTTTCATTTCCAATTCAATGGCGTTAGTTATAAGACCATCAAGTACGGGGGGGGGGGGCACTGCCAGTTGCTCTATAGGCTACACCTAGTAGCTACTCACAGGTTTGCTGCGAGAGCACGGTTTCCTTTCAAGAACACCAGGCGCTCGATGTTTTCGTCTGACAGGGTAGCCCGTTTTGCAAAGTAGGTAACGATTAACGGATTAACGGACTAAATTTTAACGATTAACGGAGCCGAAAAGTAACGGAACTAAAACGGTCCGTTACACGTGGAAAAAATTAGCGAGTCCGTTCATTGTTAACCCAAAATTTAGTTCCGATAATTAACGGATTAGCGATTTAACGGACTTGCCCACCTATGGGTGTCACGCGTAGGTGATATGAGTGAAATGATATGTTCATTGTAGACTGTGACCGTGATGGGCTTAGTTAATGATTTAGTTATCTCACTGTGCCAAAAAACAATTCGTAGATCAGGTTGTAAGTACACAGCACAAGTACAATTATATATACCTACACCAGATGATTTGTAAACGTGTGTTACCAGGCGTATGAGCCCATGTGTTGTGCTGTTGATGCATCGTGCATCATGGGAAGGAAACGCCCGTGACACGATACAATTGTGTCATTGCAGCCAGGATGCATGTCAAACATTTTAATAATGTCTTTCGACAATAGGCATTTTATGTTCATTACGAAGCGAGCGGAGTCTTTCGTATATTAACGGAAATTTCTGAGTATGAGCGGCCGGCCGGCCGTTCGGACGCTTTTGCAAGGGTTATATCTCAGCACTTGACCGATTTACATGCGGTAATTTTTGCAGGGTAGCTTCATTCCTTCATACCAAGTAGTTATTGGACTATTCCCGATGCATGTGGGTGACCACGTGCCACGTGCAAAACGAAGAGGTGTCACTTTTGTAACAATTGCAATACTGGGCCGATGGTGCTGAAAGTTGGCATGTAGGTACTAGGTAGGCACCCACTAGGCAGTGCATATCCATGTGCCACAGTTGGGGTGCTGCTGCGCGTGCGCACGTCAAGGGGTCGATTCCAGATCTCGAGAACGGCTGGACCTGCGCTCAAATTTGGTACACGGTTAGGGACCGGTTAGTACATAGGGTGCCGTGCATATTGCACAAGTCAGTTGGGACCCATTTGCTCGTGCGCACGTGCAGGGTGCCGGTTCCAGATCTCGAGAACGGCTGGGCCGATTGTGCTCAAATTTGGCACATCGCTAGGGACCGGTTAGTGTGGTGCCGTGCACAAGTCAGTTGGAGGTATACAGCCCACCGCTAAAGTAATGTAGGGTTTTACCAATCTCAACGGTTGGCTTTGACTGGCGATTGTTTAATGCGGAGTGATCGAAAAGAAGATGTCAATAGCTAAAGTTGCAGCTGCAAGGGTGACGATACATATAAGCTACATTCAAAGTTTCACTGTAGTCTGGCTAATCGTTCCTAATCTTCAGAAGCAGAACATACCCATGACTGAAACCCCACATTACTTCTGCTGTGGCTGTACCCTCTCGAAATTTCGCATGTGCAAGGATCACCCTCTCGCTCGGTCCGTTAGTCTTTACTGGTATATTTAGAATTTGTGTTTGCCAATAAAACAAGTTTCCTCTAAGACACCTAAAATGCAAAGGAACCGAAGTTAACCGACAGATCGATTTAAGAAAAAAAAATATTTTGGCTAGATTTTATTCTCAACAAGTTTCCACTCAACCCACGTATCTCACGATGTCACACATCTGGAAATATAATATTTGGTCTTCGCCGCCCTGCATGTGGTCCCCAGTAACTTCAGACTCGTGGTTACGCGCCTGCCCCCCCCCCCCCCCAGCACTTAATGCAAACTCAGACCACCGGCACGGCGCAGAAAAGGGCGCACACGCAACGGACGCACAGCGGCTTGCTAGCGCACGGGACGCATAGACGGTATATCTATAGGGCAAATGGCATGGACCGCGCGTGCACCTCGCATTCAACGCACAGCCAGCGAACTTCACTCAGTGCTGCCAGATTTGGAGGATTTCCGCAAATCTGGAGGATTTTGAACTCTATTTGCGGACAAATTTCGCTTTTGGAGGATTTTTTATTCTGGAGGAAAATCTGGAGGATTTGTCGCCCGATTATTATATTCAATTTCATGGAAAAATATAACACATTCAAGACTAAAAAGGCATTTTCCTGCCCAGCATCACCCTACCCGTTAGGATATCTCACGTCCTTTATCACCGTGAGACTGCAGAATGTCTTAGTCTGTAGCTATATGTATCTACGAGGGTACTACTGGCGGATCTAAGGGGGACATTTGGGGCAAATGCCCCCGGCCCCCCTGCAGCGCCCGAAATCGACGAAAATTTTCGTTTTTTTAGGATAAAACGATAACTAAACAACTTTTATTAGAAAAAGTATCTTTTAAACTGCACAGCAGTGCGAAAGGATTCGAAATCCGATGAGTTTTTAGAATTTGGTGATTTTTTTTGGGGGGGGTATAGCCCCCCGCAGCGTCCAAGACCGCCTTTCTATATCTACCAATAGGATTTGGAGGAATCTGGAGGATTTTTGTAACTGATCTGGAGGATTACAGCCTTCCCTATCTGGCAGCACTGACTTCACTTGCACTGTAAAAAATGTTAGCACAGTCTGAGTTTTCTGACTCACTTTAACGATGTGTTCAAACAACTAACTTGCTAATGAATCCGTATTTATCGAGTAATTTAAACCTTATTGCGAAGCAAAACACGGTTAGTCCAAATCAGGATGAACTAGCTCGGAATCCCCATGTACAATGACACTGTTCGAGTAATCGCCATGTATTCATACCCGCAATTGGCGGACACTGTGTTCCGAAACACGAATACGATTTTGTGGAAGCATTTTTGCGCACGGTTCTACCGTGTTGAATGACACGTTGCCGTGTTTTACCCCTCTGCGTCGAGTTTAAAAACCCGAATGGGGTTATTTGGGCCGCGATCTTGAGGGACATTAACACCAATTAACACTGTGGGTTGTTAACTTACTCGGTTCAGTTTCGCGCCAAATGCAGCGCCGCGTGGGCCTCAGTCGCCATCTTTGTGCGATCCAGGGAGGTCGTGTCTGTGCTGCGTCTGACGTCTTGTTGGTAAGTACAAGCGATACTTGCTCCAAATTTTTCTTAGCAATAACATCAGTGATATTAAATGTCTTTTAGGCGTGGTTACATAAATATTATTCGTGTAGTGACTAGTGTGGCGTTATGGATGGAAAAGAGGAGCCCTCGGCCCTGATTCTCATTCTGCCACTCCACCACTGGTGGCTATGTGTGCGTTTGTAAACATGCTACTTACATGAATAATTTTGACTGTACCTTTTCAACTTTTGCCATGTATCTACCAGCTAGTTATAATTAGTCTGCCTGGTTTCTCTCTTGCCCTCTCTCTCTCTCTCTCTCTCTCTCTCTCTCTCTCTCTCTCTCTCTCTCTCTCTCTCTCTCTCTCTCTCTCTCTCTCTCTCTTCCATGGTATCTCCCTCTGCTTTTCTATTTGTCTGTGGATAAGAAGTAGGTAGACATCTGTTTGGCTGCGAACTGACACAATTTATTTATTTCAGAATACGGCTCAAGATGAGCAGAATGAAGGTAAATCTCCAAGTCCCACAGTCAGAGCTCAAGACTGTGAGGCAGGACTTCATTCCTTGATGAATGCGGCTCAACCAAGGGCTCAACTGCTAACAGGATAAGAAGGTATTGTCCTATTTCTGCCGATTTATTATTTCACATATCACAAATCACAATTAGTGTCTGCATGGGACTCTGTTGTATTTTAGTAGACTAGGGTTTTGCCTTCTATAATATGAAGCCGATATTGAAAATTAAAATCACATGTTTAACATATTTATTATCGTCAAAAGCATAACCGATTACCCAAATCCGATGAGAGCCCGGGCGCCCCGGCGCCCCGCTCTACCCCTGCGCTCTCCCTCTCTCGTCCCGCTCCCGTGGTCAGCTGTCCCGCTCTGGTCCCGCTGTCCAAGCGCCAGGCCGTTGCCATAGCGACGGCTGACGGCCTCCTCCGGCGGACGGATCCGGACGCCGAAACTCAGCCGTCTGTATTTTGATGATTCTTATAGGTATCTTGTTTTGATGTGCATTGGCTATTGGGTTGATCAGGGTTGATGTTGGACGTTACCGATAATAGGTATAAACTATAGAGTCGATGGTGAACTTACCCAATCGCCAAGTATGTAGGTATTAGTTTATAAACGTTGGCCTTTCGTGTAGAGTATAATGGCAGGGAATGGCCATTTAGAGGTCAAGGGACGGTCACTTCAGTAAAGGGTGCGAGCTTAACCCGCGACGCCCGCGACCCGCTGGGGAGTGGGAGGCACCCCTGTTGTTTTACGCTGATAACTCAAAAACGGCCGCGATTTTTAACTCGCCGATTCTAGTACTCCTCCGGACATCAATTTCACTCAACTCCTGAAAATGCGTCCTAGGTCACCTCGGGTCATGAGTTATGGGGGTCAAACTGAGGTCATGTTCGGACATTTTCCGTCTAAAAAATAAAAAAAGTCGTTCACGGGAATAAATCACAAAATAGATTTTCAATCAAAAGACTCAAAAATCGCACATTAGGTACAAAATGCATGGCAAAGGAAACTGCTACCACAAAATTACCGAAAAAGAAATATCAATGTTTTGATATTTCTAAAATATTGATATCATATATCAATATTTTGCTATTTATACACTCAAAACTCCTCCAGTTTTTTTTTTTAATTTAGGGAAGTTAAAAACGGAGCATATGTCGGAGAGATCCTTATTCCTTATTGCCTTTACAGGGTGTCTCAAAAAAGTGTCACGGTTTTGAACATCTCCCGTTTCGTAACCATACACATCCTAAAAATTAACAAAATATGTGTCTGTAAAACTGCCAGTGATATAGTTATTTGAAAGACTAAAAAATAAAAAGCGACTGTTCTTGTGACGTCCGATTTTTTTTCAGCACTTGTTAGGTACTGAAAGTAGTCTAGAGAAATATCTACGATACTTGCCCCTCTCTTCCTGACTAAATAGGTATCAACGCTTTGTCGTCTCTTTTAAATGATAGGTAAGTCACTTTAATAAAATGTTTGTCATTATAAACAGCTACAATTTGACCTTGCTTGCCGTCCTGTGATGTCATAGGTCAAAGAAAAATGACGTCGGGGAGACGCGTCGAATAACCTATAAGTTGACCCGAAAAGGTCAACTTAAAAAGACCCGAAAAGGTCAACATAAAAATTTGACCTGAGGTCAAGGTCACGGAAAAGGTCATGTTGCAAGTCATTCGATTCGTATTGTTAAGCTGAACACATTCCTGGTGTTTTCAGAAACTGTTTGAGACGGTTCGTGACCTGAGATGACCTCAGAGGCATTAAAGGGGGTCACAGGTGCAATTTTCCGGTTCATTGTGACATGTTCATCTGTGTCCCGATGTTTGAGGGTATTTACGGCCAAAAGAAGCGGATTTTAATTTTTTCCATTGACTAAAAGTCAATGGAGGGGTCACAAAATCGACCTGACCTTACGTCACAGATATCAAAATTCCGAGAAATGCAAATTGTTCATACTGACAAGCTCATGCAATAGCATGAGTTTCAAACTTCTGGGATGTACGAATATACTTTAGAAATGACTGAATCACAAAGTTTAAAGAGGCATGATCACTTTACTTGGACTGTGACCTGACCTTATGTGACCCGGGATCGAAAATATTACTCACGATGTGAAATTGATGTATTATAAGCTATGCCAAGTTTCGCAGCGCTGCTCGCCGATTTTTTTTCTACACTCGCAAAAAAAACTGGCAGGTGTGGCCAACGCTCCCCCCCCCCGACCCCCCACCCGTGCGAAGGTTAGAGTATGTATCTTTATGCCGTTCATTCATGCACTTCGTCATTTACTGACATTATTTTTTTCTTATTTCAGACACGAACAGAAGTTGGATGCTTTTTAGAATTTCCTCTCGTACCGCTATAGTGTCATAGGTGGAGGAGAGCGGGGCTGCCATCTCCGAAGACAACACGCCTCTGAGTGTGCGCCTCCTAGTTTGTGCGGCCCCGTGTTCAACGAGAAAATTCAATGCCCCAGCGGTCAGAACTCCCAGCTAGTATTGACGCAATAGCTCTCCCAAATGTCGACCGGAAAGTCGTTAAAAAAATCGTTGCGACGATCGGCTCGACAAGCTGAAGACCGCGCCAGAGAATGCATGTGAAACGGCACCTCTACTCTCCCATCGCCAGGCCCAAAGACGTGTTGTTCATAGGTGTCTTTCACAATACTAGTGTTGCTGATCGCGGAGGACCACTGTCCACTGCTCGTCCGCCGTGGTGTTACTTCTGATGAGGCTCAGAGCGCATGTGTATTGTTTACTGTGAACAATCTGTTGAAATATATAATGAGTAGATCTGTACTCTGAGACTTAATGAACTTGGCTAACGAGGATGTGTGTTAAAGCAAAACGAACTGTGTTACACGCCTCAATAATTATGTGGAATGAGTTGTATAAATGTATACTTCATGTCGATTTATTGCGGTTAAAGACGTTACCTCTGTTTAAACGCGGCTGGGCCTGTTACAGCCCCGTTTGCATCAAAGAAGGTACGCCTTTCATCGCAATAAGTCCACATGAATTATATATTCATATATTCATTCAACGTGATCATTGAATCGTGTAATGCAGCTCATTTTGCGTTAATATACATTCTAAAAGGAGGTACTGGACGGGAAGTATATGAACACGAACCGAGCTACGAAACACGTTACACGTTTATGGCGAGTTTACTAACATCTAATTTCCGGATATGTTAACACAAATAAGTTTATGTAGCCGATAATTATCCAAGCCCAGAAACACCAGTGGTGTTATTGAACACTTAACATCTTTAATGCGAGCTATTTTACACGTTATTCGATACGCTAGAAACATGTTGGCGAGTTATCGAGCTCGGTAACACGTCTTTATCGAGTTACGGAACACCACTTTTTGGAAAGTCAAAACTCATACCGAGTTATGTAGCACGGATTTACCGTGTATGAGAAAACACGGTGGCGTGTTATGAGATACGGCTGTACCGAGTCGTTTTTGGCCATATAACACAAAACGTGCTATCATTTTTTACAGTGTGGCAGCGGCGTAGTGGCCCGTCTTACTCTTGCCTGCTGTCATATCCCTATATAAAGCCTTGGTCATATCAGAGTTGAACGCCAGTGAGGGCACATCCTCATCGGCCCTCTGGAATTTCTTGCGATAAATTCAGTTTAGGACTGACTGATAAATCATTTCAATATGTGTTTAATGTTTAAAATGACAACAAATTCTAACAAATTTGAGTCACCGAAGCAATTAATGTCCTCGTCCATTCCCCAGGTCAATTGGTTCGGTGACTTCCAAATTATAGCAGGCCCTTCCTCGGTCAGGCTTGATGGATCCACAGTAACTTGGCGCGGTACTTTTAAGACTGACTGTACAGACTAGTTCCGACTTTTTGGTCACTGACCTGACCTGGAAGGTCAACCACTTACCTACCGCTTGGACCTTAACCCTCGCATGTGTAGGGGGGTCGGATGAACCCCCCATGTTTTTTTCGCGAATAACTTGCGCAAAAAGCGGCCGATCGCGACGAAACTTTCAGTACCCTCGAGCTGATCAATTTTACAACTACCCTGAAAATTTCATGACCCTGACTCAAGTGACCTTTGACCTGAGACCTATTTCTCGAGGCCATGTTTGGCCGGAATCGCGATTCGGCGTGTGTCGGCTCGCATTAGCCGCGCATCAAACATGTGATTTGATGTTGCTCCAATGCATTTGGGTGGATGTCAAGGTCACCTGAAGGTCAGGTCAGGTCATTGACCTTTGGTGACCTCGGTTCACTTTTTCGAGCTTTACATGTTTCTTTGCTAGTTTTTGGAGCTGAATTCGAACTTAGCAACCATTTGAACATTTACGAAGTAGTTTTGGTGACTTCGTAACATGTTACGAAGCTGTCAGAGGCGGTTGACACGTACTACGAATACCCGTCACGACCCCTACTGGTTGACCTGATCTGACCTGACCCGACCTGGTCTAAATGCTTACAGACATCATCTGTGATCAAAACTAACACGATATTCGTGATCAGAGGCCAGAGCCCCGAAAAACCCCTTGACAGCCACACTTTACGACTTTCTTAGGTCCCGATTTTCCCGACTTTTGGACTTTTTCCCGACGGCCTAACCAATGACCTAGGACCTTAAAATTGGGCATCATCGGCTTCCTTTCGTCACGGGCAACACTCTCGTTTTTTTTTTCACGAAGCTTTAGCCCGATCAGGGGCCAAACGGCAATGGGGGTCCAACGGAACCCCGTGTCGTATCAAATACTTTCTGACTGAGAATGAGGAGCAAAATCGACACTTGACCTCTGCTAGACATGAACATCCACCTTATCTTAACAATTCATTACGAGCGAATTCCCGGACGAGCGGCAAAAACGGTCTTTTGTATAGATATATAGAAGGATACATTGCCGTCTTTTTTTTTGCAGATCAGGGCAGGCCCTGAAACGGGATTACAGGCCCTGCAGAGTGCAGTGCACAGTGAACGTGCTTACTCGCAGCGTTGAGGAGCCCATATTGATCTCAGCCGGCTCCAAATCAGCCTGTGGTCTGCTGACCAACTGTTAGCTGAGGACTCACACCAGCCTTTGAGAGCCCACGTGTGTACAGCCCTCAGCACACCGCGTGGTAGGTATTCTTTTTTCGACAAAACCGATAACACTAAGGCTATGTTATCAGTCGGTCGGATCTCATTGCACTTATGTATATGCGCCATGCTCCACTCCTTCGATTTGGTCTATCACTGAACAAAGTATACGCCTAGTGTGGCAACAAAATACAAAACTTTGTTTCCTAAATATCAACTTTTGTGTGTTGTTACCAAACTGGATGGAAAATGTATAGTGTACCATGATAAGCCCAATCTAGGGCGTGGAGTCCCGTGCGTCTTGCTGTTACGGCTTCCGAATGACCGATTGCATAGTATAAAGCATTCGAGTTATTATCGGTTTTGTCGGAAAAAGAACACCTACCACGCAGTGTGCAGAGGGCTATGCATATGTAATGTATGTAGGTATATGTATGTATATATGTATATTTCCGAAGAATACCACCACGCCGACCTCTAAGAGCCAATGCTGCCTTATAAGGACCCAGGACCCTGCGCCGTTGTCCGACAACCCTACACTGTTATCTGAGGTACCACGGTATCGTGCATACCGTGATACCATGGTATCACGTATTGGTATGTACCTGAGTGTTCCAGAAGACCTCTCTGGGTCTCCTCTGCGCCATCCAGACTCCACCCGACAGAGCCGGCCCGGGCGGTGACGACCGCCGGCCACGGCACGGCTTCAGCCAGGTCCGCGCGTTTTGGGGACAGTCAGGCTAGCGGTCGGGCCGGGCCCGCTGACGACATCGCCCTCCCCCGTCCTATGGTATGCGGAGGGACGGTCGGCTCGACCTGTCAAACCCTTCCGCTTGCGCAAGTGATGGATTAGACGGAACAAACACGGTCGCCGACGCCCCAGCCGGGTCTGAGAGTGTGTGTGGGGGGGGGGGGGAGGGGTGACATCGCCCTCGGGGATCTATTCGGCACCAGCAGCGGTCGACCGCTGTCCCAATCAGCCCCTTTTAATCCACCCGGCCCGCGGCCGTTCAACCGCTTCTCGTCCCCACCAGCATCTATCTGACGGGATGAGATGGCAACAGGGCACTGTCATGTTTCGGGGTACCCATCCAACATCTTCCGAGGGACCTTTGTGGAGGGCAGACACAGGTCACCGCTAAAGAAATGTGAGGTCTTACCAATCTCAACTGACAGCTCTTACTGACGGTTTTCAAATAGGTATACAGTGATCCAAAGATGCAAAGCAATAGATGAGCTCCTCAGCTGCAATAATGACAGACTCGACCTCCGAGGTCACCGGTTGACCTAGGACCTTAAAATCGGGTACCAATCTCTGCGTCTCGTAACGGCGCACACGCTCGTTTTTTCCGCAACACGCTAGCTCCACCAGGGGCAAAACAGCGAGTTTGGTCATACCCGCCCCTCCCCCCCCCCCCCCCCGGCCGGCGCGTTTGTAGAAAACCAGTAGGTCCGGCGAGGGTTAAGCACCCACTTAAACATTTACGAAGTAGTTGTAGTGCCTTTGTAACATGTTATGACGCCGTCAGTGGTGGTTGAAACCTAGTGTGGATAGCCCGTAGGACGCCTTCTTATTGACCCGACCTGGCCTAAACGCATGACATCATCTCTGATTAAAACCCCGAAAAAACTTCACCTTGAGTTAAGGGGGGGGGGGCACTGCCGACTTTTGGTCCCATTCCTTCCATGCAACGCCCATGGGGCTAATGTTAAAATGCCCAAAGCAAGGGGGCACGGTGCCCCGGTGCCCTCCCCGTTCCGCCGCCTATGCATTTACCTGACCTGGAAGGTCAACCTAGGTCCTTAAAATTGGTTGCCACCTCCCATCGGCTTTCTCTCGTCACGGGCAGCACGCTCGTTTATCCGCGAAGCTCTGCCTAGATCAGGGGCCGAATGGCAGGGTTCCAAAGTTGACACCCCCCCCCCCACGCGTCAGACGTTGTAAAACGCCGCACACAGGCATGCCGCCGTTGACACCAATGAATTGTCCGCTCGTTTAAAATAAAATGGCTTGAACGAAAATGATCTGTATTTCTTTCCCTTTTTGAGGGATGCGCAAGCTTGCATACCTCCCAGTCAAAGACTGATTCACCGCACATATACCTCAGGGCTCAGGGTGTCGTATATGTTTATCAAACTCTACAAACTGACCAAACAGTGGGCGAGACACAACACGCTTAAAAAACAACAAACATACAACACAAATACCACTATTACCGGGGAAACCGATTAAAAAGTCTGTTTGAAAAAAAGACACACATAGTCAACGATAGCAAAAGCACCGCAAATGATTGTGAAGCCGGTGCATCTGCACCATCGTAAAATTGCGTCGAGGTTCCCATAGACACAGCGCATAAGGAAGAACAATCTAGCTGGTGTCCTAGCGACTTACTATGACACGATCCGTTAATCTACGCCAACAATATCAATGGCAACTTCTAGCGACCAAAAAGCGCAATCGCGGAGGGAAAACGCTCACAACACTGAACACGGGTTAACCTTCGCCCGGGTGGTGGTGGTGGTCGTGGTGGTGGTGGTGGTAGTGGTGGTGGGGGCACACCTGCCCGCTTTCTTTTGCGTTTGTAAAAAAAAGCCGCGGCGCACAGCGCCGCAAAGATTGGCATAGCTTATCATACATCTATTTCGCATCGTGTTTAAACATTTTTAATAGGAAAATTGCACCCATCACCCTTTGTATACCCCTGAGATCATCTCAGATGATAAAGCGTTCCCTAGTTTTTTATATGAACATTATATAGGATCATGCTGGAGCGCTAGAAAAACATTGATGCGTCCATCTCAACGATACGAACCGACTGATACGCAACATCACCTTTATGTGACCTTGACTTTTGGTCAAATTTTTAAGTTAAGCTTTTCAGATCAACTTGCAGCTCATTCGAAGCGTGCGATGCCGGTAAATATAACGTAATAAAAGCTTGAGTGAAAAGTTATTACAGAAAAACGTTTTCCGGGTAGACATCAACTTTGATCTTTTACCTTCTGGAGGCTTAAACGTTGACCTCAAGTCAAATTTGAGACCATTACTCTGGGAGAGCTTTGAAAGAACTATCAAATGCGCTTTTCCACGGCGCTGTAGGTCTATTGTTACCCGAGTTGTGTGCTAATTTGTGAAAACTTGTCAAAATCGAGAACAAAAATTCGTGATAATTTTACCTTCGGGGACCTCCAGTGACCTCAGAGATGACCTGATCGAAAAATGACCTGATAATCTTAAAAGATGTTATAGCGAGCTATCCATTGCTTTCCGTAGTGTCTTTCTAGCTTTCTTACTTTCCGAGGTAGCCTAGTGTGGCCAAATACGCCCCCCCCCCATTGCAGATTTGGATGCGCCCACCCGGGCGCAGGTTAACAGGCTCCTAAGAAGTTGTTTCTATATATTCCGAGAGCAGCCGATGCGCGCTCACGCCGTACCGCCGTCGCAGTTCAAAAGCCATATGTAGTATTCCTTGGAGGCCTCGAAGAACGTTTTCTGTCTGCCTCTGTACTTTGTATTTGTTTTCGCGGCTGTCGTCCTCGAAGTCCACGAATGGCAGTCGTTCTGCAGCAGGCACGCTGAGCTGATGATCTATCCACTGAGGGAAAACCAACAGCTATTTGTATATTTACGAACTGCATAACGTCACGAAAAAAACAAGTTTGTTAAACGATACCAGATAGCCATTGGCAAAGTCAAACAAGGGTACACAACCATCTACTTTGCGAAAATTGTGTGCACTGGAGTCAAATGTTTGAATGTTTCAATGCATTACAAACTATTTAAGTTGTCCAGTCAGCCGTAAACGTTGTCATGCTAACATACTATCTCAGGCAGTTCCTGGCCAGCGCAATGCAATATAAACATCAAGCACTGAACATATTTTGAAATAAACGATAAAAATAATGCATTTAGGGGTGTTAGCAATGTCATTAATATTGTGCCATTAAAACGAATGCAAGACGAAACTCAAGATAAATTCACTCGATCTTGTTTCTACTTAAGTGGGCAAGTGGAGACAGTTACCGATATTATGGGTAATTTTTAACAGTCTTGGTCCCACGTCGAAAATAAACTCACCTCTAATTTTTGTACCAATACATCCATGACATAGGAGCCGTACGTGAGAAGACGCTCCATTTCTTGCTTCACTATGTCCCTCTCTTCTTGCGCCCGTCTTCGCTTCATATATACGTCACACAGCGCCCGCTTTTCTGATAGGGAGAGTGGCCCGACTGCGCTGTACTCTTCGTGCCATGGGAAGTGGCCATCTGCACAGGCATCGGCGTCGATCAGCACACCCGTCGTCTGTTGGTAGCGGGACAGAAGTTTATTCAGCTTCTTTTTATCGGCCACCACCAGCCGCCTCAGCTTGGCCCGTTGCTTTGGTGTACTGGCCACACGACTGACGCTCGCCTGCCGAACCCGCAGGCTGTCGCTCACGAGTTCGATGGCGTTGCGCAAGTCACTTCCGTCGGACCGCAGGTCACGGGTACTTAGTGACACAGCCAAGAGCTTCAACTCTTCTACGAGTTCCCCGACATCCTCCACAGCAAGTCCGTGTTTGTCCAGCAGTGCCTGCTGCTCTTCAGCCAGTTCCGAGACCCTCCTCGTTGCTGCCGCCATCTTCGCAAGCAGCAGCTCTGGCATGTGATCGTGCTTGTCACTGTTGTATGACAGCACCAGGTCTGTTAGGGAGTCGACTCGTTGCGCTGATGTCATGTACTTTGTCGTGTTCGCAGCACGACTGAGGAAGGCGTTCGCGATCTCCGTCGTCTCCATAACCGACCATCCTGAGCCAGGCTGCCAGAAACCACCGTACCGTATCTGAAAAAGGGTAGGTATATGTAAAATCAAGCCTCGAAACATATTCAGTGAACAGCACGGAGAGAACTTGAGTATTGGTGCTTTGAAGGGGCCCTCCCACCTTAAAAAAGTTAATGAATTGGCATGAAAGTAATGTCGCTCGGTTCAGAAAGAGCGAAAACGAACATTTACCAAATTTCACCGAAAAATATTATTTGTATATATATATAAAATTATATTATAATAAAAAAATTATGTTTGTTATTAGATTGGGTCATTCAGACCTAATCTAATAACAAAGAAAACATCTGATACTGGCCACAGCTGCCACGCCGAAAGAATTTTGAAACTTTGAGCGATTAATAAATCGAGTAGCATGGTGTACAAAACGAACACCTCGGATCATTTTATATCAGTGACTTATGGTCAGGGCAATCTAAAATATATTCTTATGAATTATTTCAACGAAAGAGTGATAATATACAAGTCACCCACTACTAACAGAAACACAGTTATTCATGGGTCACTCGAGGAAGATCAGCTATCGTTATAAACTCACTCCACCGTCGCTCTGTAAAGCCGTTTGGGGAAAATATCCTCCCGCTTTACCTTTCACTGGGAGCCATTCCATTGACAATCAACAGAGAAAAGAGAGAGAGGGAGAGAGAGAGGAGAGAGAGAGAGAGAGAGAGAGAGAGAGAGAGGAAGAAAGAGAGGGAGGAGAGAGAGGAGTGAGGGAGAGTGCTTTTCTCCCCCTCTTTCACTCTCATCCTGTCTATCATTTTTAACTCCTCAGTATTTCTCCATGTTATAATATATGATTACCTGGCAGTAGTACGCATGTCCAGAGGCATGCATAACGCTGAGGAATGGCTGAGTGTCTCCGAGGGAGTACTCAGGGAAAACTCTTGCCACCCGTTGAGCCCATGGCCAGTATTTGCACACCACATCACTCGCGAAGAAACATGCGTTCTTGAAGAGTGTTTGGTGCAGGTAGTGGCCATATGCAAACTGCTCTCCTCTGTACATATTCACGCCACCGAGAACGACGCTGTGACGACAAGTGGCGGCCACGAGTCCCGTCTCGTCCTGAGTTCTCTTGGACGATGGCAGCCCAGGGTTGTTTCGTGCCGCAGCCCACAGAGATGTGCCACAGCGGTTGGTTGTCTGAAAATAATACAATTGATCAGTGAATGATAATTAATCTTAATCCATCTAACAAAATGTCCTATGTAGAGGGTTGTGATGAGCAAAGTTAGGTTAGGTTATGTTAGTTCAGGTTAGGTTAGGTTAGGTGAACCATTTACCTGGGTTTTTGGGTGGGTCCCAACTCCCAGGCTGCGCTTTTGCTGTTATCGTCATTTTTTTAGCTTAACCCTCGCCCGTATTGGTGTTTTGCCAGCCGCGAACGTATAAGCCTGATCGAGCTAGAGCTTCGCGGAAAAAAACGGGCGTGTTGCCCGTGACGAGAGGAGAGAGGAAGCCGAGAATACCAAATTTTAAGGTCCTAGGTCTAAGGTCATTGGTTGACCTTCTCAGTCAACTCAATGACTCAAAAGTCGGGAAAATCGGGGCCTGTTAAAACGTCGTGAAGTGTGGCTGCTATGAGTTTTTTTTCGGAGTGCTAATCACGAATATCATGCTACTTTCGATCACAGATGATGTCTTCATGCATTTAGGCCAGGTCGGGTCAACCAGTAGGGGTCATGCCGGGTATTCGTAGTACGTGTCAACCGCCTCTGACAGCTTCGTAACATGTTACGACGTCACCAAAACCACTTTGTAAATGTTCAAATGGTTGCTAAATTCGAATTCAGCTCCAAAAACTAGTCTAGAAACATGTAACTCTCGAAAAAGTGAACCGAGGTCATCAAAGGTCAATGACCTGACCTTCAGGTGACCTTGACACCCACCCTAATGCATGGGACCACCGACCAACATCATATCACAGTTTGATCGCTTGAAACCAAGAAAAGACTGCAAACGCCCGCCTAATGATACCCTGATTTAGGAGGGCCCAGCTCGGGTTATGAGGGTACTTGATCTAGCTAGACTTTGATGGCTCCATGCCAATCTCGGGGCCTCACTCCAACCTCTGAGGGCTCATGCTGGCGTCCAGGCCCCACACTGGCAACAGAGGGACCAACGCTGGCCTCGGGGTCCCACGCTAGCCTTTACTCAGCCAACAGAGTGTCTAGATCACGGAGGCGTAGGCGTCAGGCATGAGCCCAATGACAACTTAGCGGCCCCCGGCTAAGAGGCGTTGGGCGAGGGCAGACAGATGCCGGAGAGAGCGAGGGAGAGGGAGGGAGGGTGGGAGGGAGAGAGATAAGCGGAGCGGGCGGGCTGGGGCGGGAGGCACGAGGAGAGCACGGGATATAGGACAGTCAAAGACGAGCCAGCGAGGGGGACGGACCATCGGTCATGGTCTCAACAATTTTTTTTTTGTTGTTCTTCTTTGTTTTTTCCTGTCGTGACCCCTAGAGGACTGCACGCTGGCTTATTAGGGCCCTACGCCAGCGTCAGACGGGTCCGCGCTCAAGCTTCGCCCTTGTAGGCGGGGTCGGGTGGCCCCCCCTCGGTTTTTCGCGAATAACTTGCGCAACAAGCGGCCGACCGCGACGGAACTTTCAGTACCCTCGAGTTGATAAGCTTTACACCTACTCTCGTGAAGGTCAGGTCAATGTCATTGCCCTTTGACGATATTCACTAACTTTTTCGAGTTTTACAAGTTTCTAGGGTAGTTTTTGAGCTGATTTCGAATTTAGCATCCATATGAATTTATAACATTTACGAAGTAGTTCTGGTGCCTTCGTAATATGTAACGACGCCATCAGTGGTGGTTGACACCTAATTTAGATCTAGCCAGCAGGACTCCTACTAATTGACCTGGCCTGACCTGACCCGACCTGGCCTAAATGCATGAGGACATCATCTGGGATAAAAACTAACATGAAATTCGTGATCAGCACCCCGTCCACGAAAAACCCAATAACAGCTTGATTGTACCAGTTCTAGCAATCCCGATTTTTCCGACCTTTGGGTCGACATCGACTGGAACGCATGAAATGTAAACTGGAAATGACCTGGAAGGTAAACTAATGACCTAGGACTTTGAAATGGGGGATCCTCCGCTTCCTCTGGTCACGGGCAGCACGCTCGTTTTTTCCGCGAAGCTCTAGCTCGATCAGGGGCCGAGCGGCAAGTGGACCCCTTGCCGTTGCGAGGCGTGTGCGTGTGTGGTCTGTCTCTAACACTCAGACATACACGTACAAGAAAAACTCACCTTTGAAATGGGGGCCAATTTTGCTGCATGGTTCTTCACAGCATCGCCATCATGCAGGAATGTCCCCGTGTGGTAAGCTGATGACATGCTGCTGTCGCCAGACGACCGATAACGGTAGAGTTTAAAATTCCCATCAACATGGACACAAGCCGGCTCAGGTCCACATGCTTCGCATGACATGAGGTCTGCATCCATCAACCTTTGCAGCTCGAACTCCATGTTTGCCCATTCTGAGTAGGCCTTCTCAAATCGTTGGAGATCAATGGGGGCCTCCTGAGAATGAGTGAGGCACTGTCAATGTTTACAACATTCAAATTCGACTCAACAACACAAAAGTCTGCTGTTCTACCGGTACTCTATAAAAGTCTGATATATATTTAGCTGCAGTCTATGTTAACACCAAAACATGCCCCAGCGTCGCTTACGAGCTTCACAGGACGGTTGGTCAAAAAAAAAAAATGGAACAAACAGAGGCAAGATACGATACAGAACACCTCCCATGCCCACATGCACGAACAATTCGAGTTGATTTTAAACCAAGCTCCAAGTTTTAAATCACTTACGAAATTACTTCAAACAGCGCTCCAGTTTCGGTTGTACACAACGATAACATCTACCTCAAGGTCTACAATATTGTATCTTTTAGGTGTAAAATTATGAATTGGATCGCATCCTCTGCGGTGTATGTACGAGGTATTATTCGGTGTGACTAGCCAAAAATGATGTTTCAAATATTCTATACCTATTCTTAAAGCTGCCTGACAGCAGTGTAGGCATTCTTATACAAATAAAAAAGATAAAATGAAAATAACACGAATGATATATACTCATAAAGTATAAAAGGAACTCCGTCGTCTTTCTTACTTAGCTGGTACACATACTGCTACTCTGTTTGCCAGGTCATGGGAAGGAAAATTGTTGTTTTCTCACGATCTGAACCATCGGTATCCATATTTCTACGTTAATGAATGTAACGAAAAACGGATACTCACAGAGCCATAGGTGGTTCCAAGTTTCTCCAGCATTCGTAAAAACGCTCTAAGAGAAGTCCCAGGCGTCCGGAAGCGCAGCTCCTTCCACATGACGAACACGTCCTCGTGCACCACTGTAGACATTTGCACGGGCGACGCCACAAAATATCCACAGAGCATCAGGTCTTCGCTGGATGCTTCTATCCTGTGGTTGCAGCCTGGACATCTCCAAGCAGGAAGTCTCAAGTCAAAACGCCCTGAAAAATAAGGGCATTATTTCACAATCACGGGCACTTTTTCAAATTAATTCGCAGATACTACCTAAACCCTACTACAGTTTGACAAAGCTAGGGAAGTACGGATTTTAAGCTTAACAGTTATTGAAGCACGCGTCTGTATAGATAACTTCCAATAAGCCCGATATCTCGGGCGAAATTCAATATCTCAAATTTAAGGACAGTTAGGCTATCTCCGATGTCCAATGCACGTGTTAAGTGCTTCTGCTGGGGGTGAGGGGAGGAGATGGCGCTTTTGGCCACCACTGCCGGTTTTTTATGTGTGTAAAGAAAACCGCGTCGCGAAACTTGGAATAACTAGCTTGTGATACATCAATTTCGCATCGTGTATGACATTTTTGACATCAGGTCATATAAGGTCAGGTCGCCAGATCAAGCTAAGTGAACATGCCTCTAAAAACTTTTTGATTCAGTCACTCGTTACAGCTTACATCCCAGAAGCACCTATGAAACGCAGGCTTTTGCATCAGGGAATCAGTACCAGCAATATGTACATATCAGAATTCCGATATCGGTGACCAAAGATCGGGCCAATTTTGCGCCCTCTCCATTATAAGTCAATGGGAGAAAATTGAAATGCTCTTCTTTTGGACTAAAACAACGTCAAACATCTGTAACACAGGTGAACATGACACATGGAATCGGGAAATTGCACATGTGACCCCTTTTATGTCCCCGAGGTGATTCCAGGTCATGGAGCGCCTCCAACAATTTTTTACAATAACTTTAGAAACATGATAGAGATCTGAAAACACCATGAATGCGTTCAGCTCAACGATTCAAATCGAATGACATACTACATGACCTTTTCTGTGACATTGACCTTAAGTCAAATATTAAGTTGATCGTTTCAGGTTAACTTGTAGCTCCTTCGACGCGTCTCGACAAAAGAAACGCGATGCCGGTAAAATCAGCGTAATACTGAATACTACACTTGAGAAAACCTGTTGAGGCCAAATAGCCCCTCCCTCCCCCACCATGGCAAAGTTGGCCGAGAGACCCACCCGGGCGCGGGTTTAAGTACTTATTGAGAGGCATTGATTAATGATTACTATATTTACCGTAAAGTGGGGCTATTTGAGACAGTGGGGCTATTTAAGACAGTATTTAAAAACGCTATAAAATGAAGATCGTTTGATTTTTGTCTGATATTTTTGCTCAGGGAGGTGTGGAATCAAGCAGTTAATCGCCTGAGCAAAAAAGTAAGCATAAATTTTAGGTGGTTTTTATGTTATAGCAATTTTAAATACTGTCTCAAATAGCCCTTCTGTCTCAAATAGCCCCACCTTACGGTACGTCTATTTCTGCTCTTAGTTTCCGAGTATCGTCAAACCTGATGTTGCTAAAAAAAAGCTGCTGCTAAGGAAACTTAGCTGAGATCGAGATACAGTATTATAGGCTCAGCTCCAGCCTCCATATCCGGGCGCAAATAACAGCTTTTCTTTCAAAACCAATTATTACCGTTTAATATTTATAAAATTACACACACACAAAAAGTCGATGACCTACCGAGTGCGCTGATGACGATGACGGCCGATTCCGATGACTCGATGACCATCTCCATTTGGCAATGCGCGCACGCATGTCTCGATCCATGCAACGGCAATACTGATGCTATGGAAAGGGAAAGCGTACAAGCAGGGTTAAATACGCATATAATTCGGAAAATAGGTACCTAACACCAGAGAGGCGGATCCAGCTCAGAGTTTTTTTTGGGGGGGGAGGGGGCAAACTATAACAATTTATCGATTCTTTCCATGCCTCGTCTATAGGCGTAATGTTAAAATTATGCCGTTGGGGGGGGGGGGGGGGCAAATGCCCATTTTGCCCCCCCCCCCCCTGGATCCGCCACTGCCTAACACCATTGCACAATATACAGAGGGGCTAACAAAACAACTGCGGTGGTGGTGGTGGAGGTGGTGGTGGTGGGGTGTGGGGTAGGGGAAGGGGGGAGGGAATGGCACAAACTGTTGCGTGTGTTTAGAAAACCACGGCATCGGCACATCGGTCTGTTTCTCTCAAGGTTGCCATCACTGTAAATATCTTTTTGAAACAGCGTGATAATTGCTGAGAGAATGACTGGAAAATTGGTTAATGCACATTGTATCGAAAATATTCATGACATAGTTTTCCTAATGTAATCTATTGTTGTTTGTTTATTGGGGCTTTAGGGCGCACCGACAACTAAGGTCACTTTGCGCCCAACCAAATGTATTTTAAACACAAAAAAACAACGCAATGTTGAACGCCGTGCGATTGACTGATAAGTTAACTGCCAAAGACGAGACTCGCACTCTAGGGTGGTTGTAAATATAAGCAAGTACGAACTGCGAGTTGGGGAAATCAGGAGTCACACATATATGCTTTAAGCAAGTTTACCATCTGTTTCATACAATTTACCCTAACCAGTTTTCTTCGCCTATCAAATCTCGTGTTGTGTTCAAATAGACGTTTACAGAGAGGTTCGAACCTCCTCAACCAGAAAACAAGCCTCGTGAAAAAAACGTACCCATAGGCATGAAGTCACCACTCGCTGTTACTGTGATAGAGGGCTGCAAGGGCTGCCAGAATCCAGCGCCCCAGTGACGTCTCTTGTGGTATGGCTGCAGCATGTGCTGGTCTTCGTCACAGGCGTGACAGAAGTATACACTACTGCAGCTGCGGCAAGCAACGCTCGCGGGATTACGGCATACCGAACAAGTTGCTGAAACAACAGAAATGAAATATGTTATTGAATGCATTAAAAAAATGATCAATTCAAAGGCCGTGTCCCGGGTTAACCCTATTAGTGGCAGGCTCCTGGCTACCCCTATTAGTGCCGGCAGGGTTTAGGACTGTTTAGGACCTCCCCCCTCCCCCCTGATATCCGAGATCTAGCCGGCCGATTTTCAAAATTCGGCATTCGATTAAATTCAACATGATCTACATTAAAAAAAGAAAAGGCTCAAAAAAGCAAATAGGTGGCATTAGAGGGGAAAAACTGTAAATTTCAGATGTTTTTTTTTCGACTGCTCACCACGGCCATGTTTTTCAACCAACTTTGACGCAACTACAGCCAATCGATGCAGAATGAGCTGGACATTAACATGTGTTATAAAAATGGACATTTCGAAAAAGCATAGACGGATACAGGTAAATATACTTGGGAGGTACTTAAAATACATCATAATTCGGGTTTCTCGTTGGTGCATCACCAAAACGGACTGGCCATGGTCTTATGACGTTTTTCAACGATAAATTTTGAAACACATTACAAATAACGTTGTGTGGCAGGTTCGTGTACGGACCTGCCTGCCTTGGGGCCTATGCGTGCAAATTTTCGTTCGTTTTTGCGATTTTTGACTTAATCCGTAGTAGGTTTCATTTATGACGCTAGCCTGACTCAGTCTCGGCTGCTTGCGACGTCGTGACAAGTAATTCACGCGACCTTGGCGAGATCACTGAAGTGGACCAACGACCGGCAGATGGCACATTCTTGTTGGCCAGCCTATTCTTTCTACATTTGTTGTGCATTGTGCAATGCATTCTTATCGAAAGGAATCGAATAAAATGCCCCATTGACAAATTCTTCTGGTAAATTTCTGGTAATACCTGGTAATTTATCAAACTTTGCAGAGTGCACGGAAGTGCCCACCCCTTGCACGAAAGTGCCCCCATACCTGGGACAGTTTCGTGCAAACGTAGCGAGTTATTAGAAGTCATTTTTCTAATAAAAGCGATAATGTTTGAGGATAACTTTTAATTAAGAAAAAAATCAGCAATAGTTCCTTTCCATACTGCAATCAACAATTTTACCATTGCACCAACCAAAGAACAGATATATGGATGTATCCATTTTTTGCACGAATGTGCCCCACTCTCCCCTACAGTTATAATCCACCAGCATCGTGACCTTCACCCAAATACCTCACTTCACGAATAGGACCTCACAATTCCCGATGCCCTGGACTGGAACCGCCCCTGAGGTATCAACTTGACATTTTCAGGGAATGTGCCCAGTTAAATTTTTAAGAAAAGTCAGAAAATTTCAGCATCCGGCCGTTTCGAAGATATTCCCGAAAAACCCGAGGGGTGGATGAAAATAACCCCCCTGCCACTAATAGGGTTAACGTTAGCTACATATCAGCATACTGCATAGGATATCTACACAAAGCACTGGGGCAGACCTTAAGATTTGCAGGATTTTTTTATTTATTTATTTTGATGTCAAGTTCGCAAAACAGCCTATTTCCACCGCCACACACGCTTATCTTTATTACAAAATTGTGGTTTTCCCACCAAGTTGGCGTTTTTCACCCTCGCCCATATTGACCATTTACAGCGTCAAACTCTTCCCCTCCGTTGCCGTTCGGCCCCTGATCGAGCTAGAGCTTTGCGGAAAAAACGAGCCTGTTGTCCGTGACGAAAACAAGCCAATGATAAATTTTAAGTTTTATCCCTCGCCGGCACAGGCCATCTTGCGTTCCTCGACGGTTCAAGGGGGGGGGGGGCTAGTGCGACTTCCACCCCTCGCGTTTGGCCCCTAATTGAGCTAGAGCCTCGCGGAAAAACCATCGTGTTGGTCGTCGCAAGACAAAGCCAATGGTACCCGGTATTAAGGTCATAGGTCAAATGGTGACCTCTGAGGTCAGGTCAATGACCCAAAAGTCAGGAAAATCGGGACCTGTTAAATGTTGTTAAGTGTTGCTGCTATGTTTTTGGGAGTTTTTGGGGTGCTGATTACGAATATCATGGTAGTTGTGATCACATATGTTACCTTCTTGCATTTGGGCCAGGTCGGGTCAGGTCAGGTCAGGTCAACCAGTAGGAGTCCTGCCGGGTATTCGTAGTAGGCGTCAACCGCCTCCGAGTTTTTTTTTTAATAAATCCAGTCCGAACCTTAAATGGAAGGATTCACAAGGACAGAGCCACCGCTAAGTGAAGCTTGTTGCGTTGACCCTGCCCTCTACCATCCGATCGCGCATTTCCGGTTCTATGAGTTGCGAATATGAGTGCAGAATTTGGAGTCCAAAGTTTAACGTGCGCACATAGCCGCGCACGGCCGGTCCCCAACTGACTTCGCCTGGCTACGGCCTGCCACCAACGGCAACTATACCTGTCAGGAGGCTCATGAACGTCAAGCGCCCGTCGCGCTTTGAACCCGGACTGTCGTAACCGGGAACGCGTGCTCTCACCACGCAGAGTCAAACGCTCTACCGACTGATCTACGGGACAGCTTCGTAACATGTTACGAACGGACCAAAACTCAGTGTTTCATTTTTCAGCCTTTTTGGTGGCAAATCACACCTAATGGGGAAAATATTTTCATCCCTAAAATATGAATGACCGACTTTACTTCATCTCTGAAAATAGTTTCATGTATTCCCAACAGCCAGTTCACTTGTCACTTGACAGTTGATGCACCCACATCCTTTTGTTCCACACCCTGTCAAGATCCTGACATGAAATCCTGGTTTATCAGTTAGCATAAAAATTGGCATTACACCATTTTGCAAAAATACTGCAGTTATTTACTTTCTTTTTTCTCATCCTATGATTTTTTTTCTTCATCGGCACACCCAACCAATATCCAATTTTAGAACACTGCCAAAACTACTTCGTTAATGTTCAATGTTGCTAAATTCGAATTCAGCCCCAAAAACTAGCCTAGAAACACGTAAAACTCGAAAAAGTGAACCGAGGTCATCAAAGGTCAATGACCTGACCTGACCTTCAGGTGACCTTGAAACCCATCCTAATGCATGGGATCAACATCATGTCACATGTTTGAACGCTTGAAACCACAAAAAGACTGCAAACGCGCGGTTAATGCGAGCCGAAATACGCCGAATCGCGATTCCGGCCAAACATGGTCTCGAAAAATAAGTCACAGGTCAAAGGTCATTTGAATCAGGGTCATGCAATTTTCAGGGTAGGTATTAAATTTATCAACGCGAGGGTACTGAAAGTTTCGTCGCGATCGGCCGCTTTTTACGCGAATTATTTGCGAAAACCTTAGGGGGCGGGGGTTGCATCATTTCTGTGCCAGCGAGGGTTAAGGACCTTTACTTCCAGGTCAGGTCAAGGACCCAAAATCAGGCAAATTGTGACCTGCTAGAAGTTCTTGTATTGAGGTTGCTGAGGGATTTTTCGGGGTTCTTATAATCTTATTACAGATTGAATGTTACTTTTATCAAAGATGATGTATTAAGTTCTATAAAAAAAACACTTTTAAATAGCCTCCTTACAATTAAATACCAAATGATGACATAATTAAATAATTATTGATGATTTCGACCACAGGTCATTATCAAAATAAGTCGGACAGAACTTTCAAGTTCTGTCGCTGTCGGACGCCGCTGTCGCCGTCCTGTCGGGGTACGACCTTGGGTTGCTCCGAGACGTGCAGCGCTGGGGCGGTGATGCGGTTGTGGGGGGAACCCTGGATGGGGGAATGTAGCGAAGGTGCAAAAGTGGCATGTACCTAATATAGTCAAATTCTTTTGCTTTATTGCTCGGTCAGAAGAAGGGGGGGGGGGCTAAACAAAGGTTCACCACACTGGTGTCAGAAGTGGGATTCGAACCCACGCCATTTTCTACACTGAAGCCTTTAGCCGATTTTTTAACATTTTGAGGCTATTCCAAAATGTTGGCTGAGTGCAAACTGGTGTAACATTTTTGAAGGTGGTCAAATAGTTTACCAAATAGTATTACTATACAACCACTTTACATCACGCCTCTCCAGCTAATGTATCTGAATATGCCACACATACAGTAAAAAAGAAATTCGCCAAATCGAGGACTTATTGTTAGCATAGCGACTAAGAATATTTCAATTTCACTGTGGTCCATAAATCAAGACTAAATTAATATCATAGCCTAGGCCAGCAGAAAGGTGACATGTAGATTGTAGTTTATGAACAGCCCGCCCACCAATCGAATGCATATGCACCTCCCATGCATTCCTTTAATGTTTAAATAGGAACAAGTTCATAATAGCAGAAAAAGATTAAGCACCGAACGTCAACACATTCTTACCATCATTGGGAACAGCATACGAGCCAACGAAGCTTTCAAAAGCGGACGTCCTAAAATGCCCCCAGTTTTCATTTTCTACGTCTTGTCTCTCCTTCCAAGTGCGACCGTTGCTATTGTCATCCATCCTTTCCGCTGAAGCTGCCAAATACAAATCTGTAAAGAAAATGGACACATATTTACAAAAAAGACAAGCATGAACGCAAAATGGGACGAACTTGGCAACTTTACTAAACTGCATATAGTTACGAGCGAGCGAGCGCAGCGAGCGAAGTGAGTCTTTTCAATATAACGGAAAAATCTCAGTATGAGCGGCCCGGCCCGGCCCGGCCCGGCCTGTAACGCTTTTGAGAGGCTTATATCTCAGCAACCGCTGGACCGATTGGCCTGCGGTCTTTTTTGTTGGGTAGCCCCATCCCTTCTACCCCGTAATTGACTACTTTTGATACATCTCAGTGACCGTCGTGGCACGTGCCACGTAAAAAGTCAAGGGTGTTCAAGCTGTTTTGCAAAAGTAGTGATTTTGATAGGCTCATATCTCAGCAGCCGCTTGGGCGATTGACTTGCGGTATATTTTGTAGGGTTAAGGGTAGCAGCATCCCTTCTACCCAAAATAGGATACTCTCGATGTATGTGGGTCACCCCCAGTGCACGTGCAAAATACAACAATAAGAGGTGCCAAATTTGTTCCCATTTCAGTAACTCGGTAATTACTGGGGCGATTTCGCTGAAACTTGGCATACAGGTAGGCACCCACCAGGCAATGCATTCCCATGTGTTGCGGTTAGGGTGCTACTGCACGTGCGCACGTGCAGGGGGCGTTTCCAGATCTCGAAAACGGCTGGGCCGATTGCGCTCAAATTTGGTACACGGTTGGGGACCAGTTAGTAGGGTGCCGTGCAAAAGTCATTTTGGACCCCGTTTGCACGTGCGCACGTGCAGAATGCCGCTTCCAGATCTCAGGAACGGCTGGGCCGATTGCGTTCAAATTTGGCACACCGCTAGCGACCGGTTAAAAGGGTGCTTTGCACAAGCCCGTTGGAAGCACCCTCTCGCCCTTCCGCACGTGCATGGCTCACTCTCTCGCTCGCTCGTTCTTCGCCCAAAAGGCGTTTTACTGGTTATAATATATACCATATTTACCTGCATTATTTTTCACCTCTGTTTGATCGATTATTGTTGCAGATATTGTCCATATTACATCTATAATGCCTACCTTGCATAACAGCCGAAGCCTCGACAGCCTGAGATGTCCCAGCGTCTTGAACTGAGCTGATAGGTCTTGCGACAGATGTCCGTTTAGCTGAAAACGAGAACATTTTGGGGGTTACGAATAGAGGTAGAGGGTATATAAACCCAATATAAACCATGGCTCGAGCTGCTGAGCATCAAAACCTACGTAACCCTCTCCAACAGGCGTGAAATCCTCTCAGACCAGAGCTACGGGACGTAGGTCATGGGTGTCAATAAAATGCAGTGATTGCCCAGGTTTAACCCGCGCCCTACTGGGGGGGGGGGGGGGGGTTGAAAGGGGGAGGCATCCATATGGTCCCAGTTCATATTTGCCACACGTAAGTCACAGCAGATTCTGTAGGTTGAAGGTTGTAGATTGTAGGCAAGGTTAGGTCAGGTAAGATTATGTTTGGTTTTAATATTATTTCGTGAAAAGACATTGCGACGGTCGTGAGACGTGGACTTTGTGGCATATTATATGATATACAACCCTTTGAACCCTTACCCCCTGTGGTTTTCCGCAAATGCCTCAATAACAGCGCCGCCGTTTTCGGCACACCTTATGATACATCTATTCTACACATGTAAAAATTTCAGACCAGTCACTCGAGGTCAGGTCACCAGGTCACTTCAAGTCACCTCACCTCATAAAAAGTTTCAATGTCTGCCATGGATACACCGAGTGACCGATCACTTTGAAGCTTTCAGCGATCGATAAGAGCAACAGTATGTACAAAATGTGTATCTCCGAATTTTGATATCAATGTCAGGTCAATTTTGCGACCTTCCTATTATAGGCCAATGAGAGAAAATCGAAAGGCGCCTCTTTAGACAAACGTCATTCTAACCACTCTCAAACACTGAATTACAAGTAACTAGGACACACTGAACATGCAATGGCAGTTGGCACCCGTGACCCCTGTTTGTGTCCATGATGTCATTTCAGGTCAGGAATAGTAACAAACAGTTTTTTTCGCAAATAGCTTCTGATAGAAGCAAGCTAGAAAGATGAAAATGCCTTAGATGTGTTCAGCTTGACGATACAGATCGACTGATGTGCAGCATGACCATTTCCGGTCAGGCAATGATCTTGACCAGGGCCCTGCTGCACCGGTGATAGCAGCACGCTGCTATTCCATTTCGCGAACTGACGTCACACTTCTGGTAGAGTTGGAGAAATAGGCTTGTTAACGTCTCCATGGAAACCCAGTTTGACACGTGTAATAGCAGCGTGCTGCTATCACCGGTGAAACAGGGCACAGAAGTCAAGTGACTAGCATGGGTGAAACTTTGACATCACCATTGGGGTCCCAAACGTCCAAGGGGGCCTCCATTTAGTGGGGGCCTCCAAGCAATTAGGGGCCTCCAATTGCGGAAGCGGTAATTTACGAACCACGTCAGGGCCTCCTCTAAGAAATTTTCACTGGGGGACCAGAGGCTCAGAAGCCAAACCTAGGGTACCCCCAAATCCAGTTTTCTCATTGGACTTAGGCCACTTATTTTTTGTCACAGCCCGGATGCCATGTTTTTTTTTTAAATATTAATAAAGAAATGGTAGGTCACCTGACCTTACTCATGGATCCAGGCCAGCAGGATGACATTGTATGTAAATATCCCCCGCGTCGACCGAAATCGACGAAAATTTATGGCTTTTTCACTTTCGACAATAAAACAAAAAGCCTTTATTATAAAAAAAAAAAATTAACGGCACAGCATTGCGCAAGGAATCTAACCGACCCCAGAAAGTGTAAGGGTTAGCCCTAGCCCGCACCTGGGGGGAGGGTTGCCACCCCCAAGTTAGTTTTTCTGCTCTACACTGAACATTTTTAAAGCTAGAAATCTGATTTTTGGATAGCTGTTTTTCTATCTTTTCTCAGCGTCCATTGAAAATTTCAAGTTTCTGTGGCTTTTGGGTTTGGAGATATGATCTTGTTCTTCAGGTCATGTAATGACCTAAATGACGGATACCCAATATCTTGCGTTGGCTATGGGCCTTGTGAGCTTTTGAGGCACCTTGATGTCGTTTTTTTTTTTTTGCCAATCTTACCTCCCACCTATCATTGAACATGTTGTTCTGCCGTCTGCGATGTACAGATGTCAGGGTCAGGGTACATCAGTACAGACCCAGACATACACAGACATACAAACACATATCATTGACCTTGACCTAACTTGACGTGAAATGACCGCAGGCAGCAAATTAGTCGGATAGTGTGACAAAGAGCTGTTCTAGCTGGCTTGGCACCAATACGGCAGCGTCATCGGTATATGATGGGTTGGCCCGCTGCTTGTGTAGGTATTTTATTCGACATCACCACAATTTATTCAAACAAAATTTTAAGCTTCGCACTCAAGAGCAACATATTCTTTGGGAAGAGACGAATCCGATGATACCAAATTTTACCTCATCAGGTAGTCATTGACCTTCCAGGTCAGGTCAAACTAAAGAACGTTGCTGTTTGGGGTCACCGTTGCCCGTTGGAATATCACGTGCGCTGCTCATCATATAGGTACCGATGACGCTGCCGGTATTGTGGTGCCAAGCCAGCTAGAACCTCTTTGTCACACTATCCGACTAGGTTTTTGCTGGCTGTGGTCATTTCAGGTCAAGTAAGGTCAAGGTCAATGATATGTGTTTGTATGTCTGTGTGTATACTGATGTGTGCACCGATTATGAATGTGTCCCTATAGCATGAGATCATGAACTGAGAAGCTTTTACCAAATATACAGCCAAAGAAAGTAAATTCAGCTCGCCTAAAACGCAAAATTTTTAGATGACCTAGGCTGACCTTGACCCTGACCCTAGCGTCTCTACATCATCGAACAACATGTTCCATGATAGGTGGGAGGTAAGACTGGCAAAAAAGGCCGAAATCAAGGTGTCAAAAGCTCATAAGACCCATAGCCAACGCAAGATATTGGGTATTTGTCACTTGGGTTATGACATCACCTGAAGAATAAGGTCATATCTCCGAAACCAAAACCACAGAAACTTGGAATTTTCAATGGACGCTAAGAAAGGATAGAGAAGCAGCTATAGCTATACGAAACATCCGGCTTCTAGCAATCAAAATGTTGAGTGCAGAACAGAAAAAACCCTGGGGGGGGGGGGGGGGTGGCAACCACTGCCCCCCATGTGCGGGCGAGGATTAAATAATTTGAATATTAGGAAAACAATTTATTCAAACAGGTATTCCAACAGAGTCCCGCTTTTTTATAAGTGACCTCCGATTTGTGTACCTAGCCTCTAAGTTGCCCAGGGGGCCTCTTATTTGTAGGTGTACATACAGTACAGAGAGACTCCTACTTCGACTACTTGCACAGAGAGCCTCCTTTTTGTACATACAGCTAAGCTTCTACAGGTCGAGCGCCGGCCTCCTATTTGTACGGATAGAGAGCCTCCTACTGTTATAGAGGGCCTCCTATTTGTCTAGGGGGGCCTCCTATAGGTTAATGGCGCCTCCTTTTTGTCCAAGTGGCCTCCTATTCGTCTAGGGGGCCTCATATTTGTCCAGGAGGCCTCCTGTTTGTCCAGAAGGTCCCCTATTTATCCAGGGGGCTTCTATTTTCCAGGGGGCCTCCTCTTTATCCAGGGGGCTTCCTACGTGTTCAGGGGCCTCCTATTTGTCCAGGGGCCTCCTATTTATCCAGGGACCTTCTATTCGACCAGGGGTCTCATAATTGTGCATGGGCCTCTTATTTGTCCAGGGGTCTCCTACTTGGGCCTCCTTTTTTTGAAGGGCCTCCTTTTTGTTAAGGGAGCCTTCTAATTGTTCAGGGGCCTCCTATTCGTACAGAGGGCCTCTAGCTCCTACTTGTCCATGTGGGCTCCTATTTGTTCAAGAGGCCCCTATTATGGTGAACTTTGCTGGTGCGCAGGTGCGGCCAGCAATCAAGATGAAAGTGTTAGGCGTCACATTGGACCCCGAGCTGAAGTGGGAGGACCATGTCTCGATGGTGATCCGGAGATCATACGCAACTTTGGCAGGGCTGGCGAAATTTTCCCATTCTTTACCCACCGCAGTAAAAAAGTTCATTGTTGAGGCTCTGGTCTTCCCACATATAGCGTATTGCCTTACTGTTTGGGGTGGGTGCAGGGATGTCCAGCGGAAACGAGTCCAGAAGGTGCTGAATCATGCTGCCCAAATCACTACCTCATCACGGCGCAACGTGCACGTCACACCGTTGTTCGCTGAGCTTAATTGGCAAAATTTAGACAAACTTATTGTGGAAAAGGATATTCTCACGATTCATAAGATTCTAAAAGACGGAACTTATTCCGCAAATCTAAAAACTCTTGTCGAGTCCCGCGCAGACATATCAGCACGCAGCACCCGGGCCGTTGAAGCTGGGCAGCTCCAGCTACCCAAGGTGCGCACTGAACGTGCCCGGCGCTTCTTTACCTACCGCGCCGTGGCTAGCTGGAATGGAGCGCCACCAGCTGTTCGGGAGGCGCCGACCGTTAGGCAGTGCAGGAAGAATATCAGAGAGAATGCGTTAGTGTGATAGTTTGTGCAATGTTTATATCTTAGGTGTCAGTTCGTTCGCCTTTTAGGTCGTTTAGTACCGCTCCATTTACTGTCATCTTTTACATATATTTCATGTACCTATTGGATGGTGATTTAGCTTACCTCAACATTTTATAGATGCTGTTATCGTGGTATTTTAATATTGTTATCGTGTTCTTGTATTTTACTTTTCTTTTTGTCTTTTTATCTATGCCCGAGATGTGAGATGATTTTCATGTTTACTGACACTACAACGTAAAAGCCACTACGTGGATGTTGTAACGAGCCTAAATAAATAAATAAATAAATAAATAAATATTTGTACAGGGGGCCTCCTATTTGTCCAGGGGCCTCCTATTTGTCCAAGCGGCTGTTATTTTTCTAGGGGGCCTCCTATTTGCCCAAGAGCCCTCCTATTTGTCCAGCGGGCCTCCTACTTGTTCAGGGGGCCTCCTATTTGTCCAGGGGGCCTCCTATTGGTTTAAGTAGCCTCCTATTTATCCAGAGGGCTCCTATTTTAGGGGCCTCCTCTTTATCCAGGGGGTCTCCTTCTTGTTCAGAGGGCCTCCTATTTATCCAGGGGCATTCTATTCGTCCAGGGGGCCTCCTATTTGTCCAGGGGGCCTCCTAATTGTCCAGGGGGCCTCCTTTTTTGAAAGGGGCCTCCTATTTGTCCAGGGGGCTCCTAATTGTCCAGGGGGCCTCCTTTTGTGAAAGGGACCTCCTGTTTGTCTAGGTCTAGGGCCTCCTATTTGTCCAAGCCCAGGTGGCCTCCTATTCGTACAGAGGGGGCCTCCTATGTCCAATACTTGTCCATGGGGCCTCCTACTTGTTTAGGGGGCCTCCTACTTGCTCAGGGGCCTCCTATTTGTCCAGGGAGCCTCCCATTTGTCCAACAGGGCCTCCGATTTGTCCAAGGGGCCTCCTATTTATACAGAGAACCTTCTATATGAACATCGGACCTCCGTTTGTAAAGTAGCTGGTGCTTCTCGGGGGCCTCCACTATTGGGGTCCCAAAATGACAATTGGGGTCCCAAATGTTCGCACTGGGGTCCCACATGGGACCTCGAAAGTATACAAAGTTACACCCATGGTGACTAGGTTAATAGGGTTATCAAATGCACTTTTCTGGGACACTCTAGCTCTATTAGTTTCAGAGTATGCGTTGGCTTGCTGCAAATTGTTGACGTTCGACATGAAAATCGGTGAAATTTCACCTCCAATGACCTCTGGTGACCTGCCCTGATCGGCGGCCGGCTAGTACTCTTGCCGGCGCTCACATACTTGCTGGTTGCCCCGGCAACGGGCTATTGACCAATGAGAAGCGAGGAAAGTGCAACGTCACTGCGATTTTTCATATACCTGTGCCCCCCGTAGCGCGCTTCTCATTGGTCAATAGCCCGTTGCCGGGGCAACGTGCACATATGTGTGCGCGGGCTAGCGCGCTAGCCGGCCGCCGAACAGCGCCCTGATCTTTGACCAAATAGTGAATGAAGAATTTTCTCATTATTTTTTATGCTCTTTCCAACGCTGCCTACCCCGTATCGCTACGCGGCCCAGAAGCCAAGTTGGAAGCGGGGGTGTTCAAACACCCAAACACCCCCTTCTCCCCAGCAGGGCATGGAAACTGGAAATCCAGGACCCCCAGTGGGGTGCGTTAACACATTAATATTACATAACCAAAGGTTTGTTGTCATCTTAGTTAAAACACTATTCGTTAGAACTGTTTTTGATTTGAAAAAACAAATCTGAGTTTCCTGACAATTTGGCAAAAGGAATTGTTCCCAAGGAATTGTTCCCACATCACATGACAGATTTAACAAAATTGAGATTAAATCAAAGTGCAGAAATAGGTAGACCGTAGCATATAGACAAAACTTAACCAAATATTTTCAAGCCGCCTATATACATAAGCTGAAGCTTTGTGGCAAAAGGAATTATTCCCATACGACAGAATTAACAAATTGAGATTAAATCAAAGTGCAGAAATAGGTAGACCATAGTATATAGACAAAACTTGACAGAGTATTTCCCAGCTGCCTATACTGGGTAGTACTTACAGGACTTCCTAGATTTGCCGGGGATGGAAGATGTCCGTTTTTTTCCTCTTCCATTTCCAACATAGCAGACATGGTTTCTGCGCCTGGACCCGTTGCGTTCAGTGCCAGGGAAATACGGCACTCCCTCGTCCAGCAACAGCTGTCCTGTCAAAGTAAACAATTATATGTTACCACAAAATAATTATGATTTTTCAAACACTTTTGGGGGGGGGGGTTAAGCCCTTTTCGCTCTGACAAGGCCATTTCAGAGCTGGAAAGATGATAAGGAATGAGGGGGAGGGGACATTGGTCTGGGCAGGCACCCTAATGAGTCATGGGGGCTGAGCCTGTCTCATGGGACAGACCGAATACCCCCCCCCCCCCCCCAAAGTACTCACTGCACCCGGCTACAGACGTGCTGCCTGTCCAGCCCGGGCTGAGGGTTGCACTATGGAAGAGAAGGATTTGATAGTCCTCAGGATGGAAACAATGGACAGATTTTTCTGTTGGTAAAACATCTGCACAAATATATGCTTGGAAAAAAGGCCATGTTTTTACATTTTCTACTGATGCGATGTTACAGTACCTAGTACAAGCCTAACTTCTCTGACAAGGGATTTGTTTCACTGCCACTGCCAGCATAGGTACCTGTCATTTTTTACATTTTCTACCATTTATAAACATGTTCCTCGCACAAGCAATATCCAGGCCCTGTTTCACCGGTGATAGCAGCATGCTGGTTTTACACGTGTCAAATTGGGTTTCCATGGAAACATCAACAGGCCCATTGCTCCAACACTACCACAAGTGTGACGTCAGCTCACACAATTTGATAGCAGCGTGGTAGCAGCGTCCCGCCTCATTAAAGAACATAACAATCAGTACCTATTGGAAAAAATCTTACCCACAAAGAAGCTAGCTCCATTGTCAGACATATTGCTGAAGCTGTACCTGTAGGCGCTGTAGGCTGAGACCTGAAAAGTAAAACTATTTATATACACTGTGAGTAAAACCAAAATGAGCTTTAAACTCACTCCAGATTGACAGCTCAAAACAAGTGACTGAGGAGTTTGATGCCCATAAAATTCATTGTTCACAAGCCAATGTTGATTTAATTCGGCAATGTGATTGAATACACTAAACTGCCGAAATTGAGATGACCACCCTCCTCACAGGACCTACCAACTATAGGGCCCAAGTAATCTTGCTTGAACGTTCCGAACGTAAACCCAATCGAATGCCACCACCGGCCACCACCGACCACCACTATCTCTCACGCTTCCTTTCACCCCCTGCTACGATCCTATCAACAATCTTCCGATGCTATCGTCCTAAACACCGCCGTGTTTAGTACCCACTCATCGTAAACTCCGGTTCCTCTCCTCTGACCGATCTGCCGTAAATATAGTGGTGGACGTGTTGAGACACCACAATCATTAGAGCGCATTGCGGTAGCTGTTTTTCTTATCAGAATGCTGTTATTCCTCGGCTGTTAATTGGTGGAATCAACATGATCCGAACTCTTGACCAATGAAAAGTCGCAGTGTACGCTCATGAAGCTTCCACATGTGGAAAAAGCCAGGATGAACAGCTTTCGTGTCGTGCATTAAAAAAAAATATGGATGTCATGACGTCAGTAGTTCATATAATAAACAAAAAATTAAGCTAATTGGGTACGGACACAACACTTGCTTGATGTGTGCAAACATAGATATAAAGTGTGCAGAATTTTATTTTAACTAAAAAAGGCAAAATTTCCAAATATTAACCTAGCAAAATTGAGGAGGGCGTTCTGCCTTTCCTTTTGCCTTTAAAAGTTGATGACGTCATTACTTAGCCTCTTTTGAAAACAAATCTTCACAGGAAATTCCAGCAGAAGCTTTGACGAAAACGGCGCGGTCCTATATATGGCCTTGGGCGCGGTGAGATAGAGTAAGATCTGTAGATTTTCACAGTTTTTGGTGACATTCGACCACCTACTTTCTTAGTTCCTATCGTCGAAAAAATCGCGGTGATGTGTGCTTTTGAATGATATGTGAATTTGGTGCCTCAGATGCTAAATGTTTGTTTAAGAACCTGCTTTAATTTGCTCAAGATCTACTCTGATTGTCTGAAAAGAAACTGCTTTCACAATAAGTGAAATTTGATTTGAAAAGTACCTGATGCAAAATATTTCCCACATCATTACGAGATAGATATACCGCTGAGGCATTGAAATTTCAGATCTACGCTGCTAAGCATTGTTCTCCTGGATATCTTGTGTCATCCTGCTTCCAAGTCCCAGGCAATTTCCTCTTTATCGTAAATGCTGTCAATAGTATATTTTTATTACTGGTATTTTAACAAGCTGGTGTTGTGATGTAACAAACTGGCAGCCATCTCATGGCTAGAGCTTGCTCACTGTTTTCAACTGTTGACAGGAAAGTGTCAAGTGGGATACCTGCTTTTCCATTGTCATTACCAAAGTTTGTTGACAAAGCAAGCTCCAGTTTATTTGGGTAGTCATAAATCAGGCATCACACTTCCCTATAAATATATGAAGGCAGTTTGACAATCCATGGTCTTAAGACTGCTGCCAGATTATGATGCCACAAATATACCTAGTTACAATCGATGCAGCTTTTTGGACTGGTGAGGGAATTTGCCTGGCAGAGCAAGATGACCATGCATGATTTACCTACAGGAATGTTGCCTGTTGCATTGTTTTGTCTGCAGCTGCTTACAACTTTCCTGTCGCAGCTGCTTACAACTTCCCTGTCATATGGAAAAAGTAATTGCTGATCGAAAATATCAACCAACCTAGCTAATACCTATATTTCTTTTCATATTGGCAGTCAATTTTCCCATGGCTGTTAAATCTTCATATTCTTCAGGTGATTTTCCGTAGGTATTGATTTATTGTGAAGTGTCAGAAAAAACTGCAAAGTAAGGCTACAAAAGTGACAGAGCACTGACCAGCGAGGTTGACAACTGAGTAACTGACACCTGGCAGGGCACCACCTGCATCCTGCACTAGCTGCCACCAACTGAAAATTGACTTTGGTTTGTAATGTTTGTTTCAGCTGCTACTGTACTGTTGCCATTTCAGATAAGTTGGATTCAGACGCAGTCCTGCAGCCATGAGCACCATGTCTGTCGACAATCAGCTGGAGAAGCCGGCGTTCCTCCAGTGCTGTCTGGTGTGTAATGTCCCGGTACCGGCGGCGGCGGCCGGCGCGGACCCGGAGCGCGCCGCAGAGTCTGCCAGTCTGCGCCAGCTGCTGGCCGGTCACATCAGCACGGCGGCGCGCGACGAGCTGGACATTGTGGAGAGCGTGTGCGCGCCGTGCCTGGCCACGCTGCAGCAGTGGAACGCGGCGCGGCTGACGGTGCGCCGGCTGCACCAGGCGCTGGCGGCGCGGTACCGGTGCGCGCGGCAGCGGCGCGCCGCCTGCGTGCTCAGCCTCCACCTGGAGCGGCTGGTGGTGCAGATCCCGTACGGCGCCTTCCTGCTGAACGCGCGCGGCCTGGCCGGACAGCCGTGGCCGGAGCTGGTGCGCCGGGTGGCCGCTGCTGTCCTGGAGAGTGCCGGCATCGCGCGGCCGGCGCGCACCGAGCCGCCGCCGCCGACCGGCACCAGGACGGTGGGCTGTCAGACCCCGGCTGAGCCGACCCCGGAGCCGGTGGTGGTGCCGAAACAGGAACCCGAGCCGGCCACAGTAGCGGTCGGCACCGAGCCGGAGCCCGCCGGTCAGCCGGCCGGCCGCTCCCGGCCGGCGGCGGCCCGCAGACCGCGCGGTAAGCGGCCGCGGTCCGCCCTGCAGCCTCCCCGCCCGGCCGAGCAGCCCCCACCTCCCCCTCCGCCGCCCCCGCTGCTGGAGGCGCCCCGGCCGCCGCCGGAGCAGCCGTCACCCCGGCCGCTGCTCGGCTGTCTCCGCGGCTGGGAGGGTATCACCAACGTACAGCCGTCGGCACCGCAGCGGCCGCCGGCGGCCTCCCAGAAACGGGTCGGCTTCGAGGGTCTGAAGGAGCAGGCGGCGCGCGCCCGGGACCTCGAGGAGACGCTGTCGATCCTCTCCGTGGCGGATACGGCCAGTCTGCTGGACCGCACCGAGACCCTCTCCGTGTTCTCAGGTGAGCAGCTGCATAGGTCGAGTTCGTTGCTAAAACTGAATAATAGCTGAATGATACTTAGCTGCGAGCAAGCATTGCTTTCGAAATTATTTTGTTTTCAATGAACATAACGATTCGTTTTCTAAGTCTAATCGAAGTAATGGTCATTCGAATTGTGCTGTTGGACTGGTTGGTTTTAATTGTCTTTTGATCTGGTCCTGGACCCCGCTGTCATATATTGTCTTTCGTCGTTTCCCATTGTTATCGTTGTTTCCCCTTTGTTATCGACGAACCGTTGTTTCCCGGTCGTTGACCGATCTCTAACCGATGCCCTCAGACACTGCCGACCTCAGTACGCTGGCCGACGAGAACTGGCCGTCCCTGGAGGTGACTGGCGGCACGGAGCCCGACATGGCCATCCCTCTCGTGAAGGAGAGGCCCTCAGAGGTGAGTCACGTGGGGAGGGAACAGGGGAGAGCGTCAGAGAGAGGTCGTGATGGTGGGACAGGACCAGAGAGAGTGGGCTGTGGAGTGGGAAGTGGACTTTGGATTACCTGTAACCGACATCATGTTACCTGTCCGCACATGGCACTCCGTTTGTGTCGTTTGCCCGGCTGTAAATGACGTATCCTGCTGTAAATTCGGTGTACGGCGGTAACTGACATCCTGTTACCTGTCCCGCGCAGGGCACCATGTCCGTATCGTTTGCCGAGCCGTCCGGCGGCGGCCGGCGACCCGTTCGGCGCACCATCGACAGGGGTGAGTACACTGGGCTACCAAAATCGCTGAGTCACTTACCGCTGGTCGCTGTGACGGGTTGGTTTGCGCTGGGTCAGCGGTCGAATGAAACGTCGATTATTGATCGTTGACCTTACTTTTTGTCGTTGAATGCCATTTTGCATAGCTGCCCAGTCCAGTCTTTTCATTCTTTCTTTCTTACTTTCTTTCATGGGATTTCGATGACCGGTGAGGTGATATAGGGGAGAGTGGGGTAATTTGGCCGGTGGTGTAAATTGGCCGCCCCCACCTGTACGAAAGCTAATAAAAGTGAATGAAATAACTTTAGTCTCTATCCACTTGTGATTGTCATAACTAACTCCAGAACAAATGTCAAAACTTTCCCCCTCTTAGTTTTATTCAAAATTAATAAAACGTGAATTTCTTTAGAAAATGGTAACTTTTACTTCCGTTTAAAAATTTGTATAACATGTAGTATTTGGGCTGTAAACGAATTCCAACATTATAGCGCCATTCTTGAGGGTGTTCAGCGGTTCCAAGAGCTATTTCATCTAGTTCTATACAGCCATGACGACTTTATAGACAAAAATTTTCAGAATGGCAATGTGGGGTTATTTGGCCGGGACTAGCGGGGCAACTTGGCCGGTGCGCTCAGAGTCACTATGCTGGGACGGCCAGGTTGTCATGGTCAATTATACCATAAAGGACATAATTCATGACCAACTTTGACTACCTTGAGGCTTGATGACATATTTCCTATTGGACAGCTGTAAGGGCATGTGACGTCATCAAAGGCTACCTAACGCTTTTTTGCTAATAAATACAGAAAAAGATACAGCCGCGCAAATGGTCTCATTGTGTTCAGCTCGTCAGGGCGCATCGAATGATATACATGATGACCTTGAACTCACGTAACCTTGAGGTCAAGCGACCTGAGGTAACGTGACCTAAAGTCAACCTTTGGCCTTAGGCCGATGCGGAATGACGAGAGAATTACGATGGTACTTTTAGTTTTGGCCTAGCTTGATAACTTCAAAAGCTACTCGTAAAAAACTGTCATCGCATCTAGTTAGAGCCGCTATTTTGACTATTTTCGACCCCTGTGACGGCTGAGTCAACCTCCAAAATGCTTCAAATGCGTCGTAGGACACGCGTCATTGCTGAATGTGAAGCTGACTCACCTATAACAAAAATCATGGCCTGAAACTAACACCGGCCAAATTGCCCCACACCCCCGGCCAAATAACCCTGCTAGTGGGGCAATTTGGCCGCTTTGCAGACCTTTGTAATACGTCACAATTTCAATATAATTAGTTACTCTATCATTTCAAGTTTACTGTCCAGGAAAGTAAAATGTATGCCACACTTGGCAGCGTTGAGAAAATGCAGAAATGTGTTGTCGATTTTTAGTTACATCGTTTTCTAAAAAAAAAAAACGGCCAAATTACCCCACTCTCCCCTAAGCGAGCGAAAATACATTGATAGTAACATCTGCAGCTAACCAAACTGAGTATTTGGCCAAAATTTTGACACCAGTTATCTCCACTTGCATCATTGGCAATTTAAGTTTTGGGTCAACCAATGTCGACATGGAGCAAAAGCTCGTATCATTTTGCGATCTTCGATTCCTTACGACTCGAGTTAGGAATCAAGTTACAGGTTTTTGGTAGCCATTGTTGGGTTCACGTAGCGCTGTTTTATGTACCCCCTGTGGCGTGCGTATGGATCCACGGACCTGCCGGTGACCGGCGCCCGGCCGCAGGTGAGGACCTGCTGAGGGAGTTTGCCGAGACCATGTCCAACATCTCCGAGGGCGTCGTGCTGGAGGACCTGGAGGGCTACTTCGAGGAGATCGACCGACCGTTCTCGGGCGGCGGGCGGCCGCTGTCTGCTTCCACCGAGCCGCCGCCGGCGCCGGCCCCCTCCCCCGCCTCCACGGCCGCGCTGCCCGCCGCCCCCGCCCCCGCCTCCGCCCCCGCCGCCGCCCCGACCTCGGCCGTCCAGTGTCCCGTGTGTCAGAAGCAGTTCCGCCACCGGCGCTTCCTGCGGCCGCACCTGCGACTGCACGACGGCTCGCTGTTCCACTGCGAGCGGTGCGACGCGCCGTTCCTGCACTACTACAAACTGCAGCTGCACCTGCGCCGGCGGCACGGTGTGGCACTGCGGTCGGGCCGCGCCGCCGCCGGCCGCCCGGCCGCCGCCCACCGGCGCCACTCGGCCGGCAAGCTGAGCTGCGCCGACTGCGGCCGCCGGTTCACCCATCTGACCACGCTGCGGCAGCACGAGCGGCTGCACCGCGGCGGAGGCTACCGCTGCGAGCAGTGCGGAAAGACGTTCCCCTCCAAGAGTGAGCTGTCGCGCCACGCCGATGGTCACCGGCCCGAGAAACTGTACAAGTGCGAGGACTGCGGCAAGGCGTTCCAGGTGTCCACGTCTCTGGCGCGCCACCGAACGCTACACACGGACCGCGCGTCCCGCTGCGACCTCTGCGGCAAGGAATTCGACCGCAAAGATACCATGCTCAGGCACCGCGAGACGCACAAGGCCAGCAACGAGCACTCGTGCCACATCTGTGGCAAAATGTACAAACAGCGTCGCATTCTGGTCAAACACGTCCGACTGATGCACGGTCCCGCCACCCACGTGTGCGAGGTGTGTAAGAAGACGTTCCGGACCAACTACGAGATGGTGTCGCACGCGCGCAAGCAGCACGCGAAGGTGGCTCAGCCTGAGGGGCTTGTGTCTGAGCTGCCGGCGCAGCCCGCCTGAGCGGCCAGTGGTGTTTGGTGAATGGAGCCGCAGGAGTCGGCCGCTGAGCGATGGACCCCGGTGGACATGGAGGCTGTGTGGGAGCTATGGTACAACTGCCCCGTTGTGTGCACCTGTGGGGGAGCTGTAACTGAGCAATGGTCTGTTCCTCAAACTACCCTTCTCCCCTCCCTAATGTTAACTTATCTTCCGTCCTTTCTGACTTCAGAGCTTTCAGCCCTCGTAAACCCATAACATCTTATTTGTCCGTGGTCGTCGTGGCATGTGATTGACGATGCCCGTGTGATGTGCATGATAAACGAGCTTTTCTTTGTCGATAGATTATTGTACGCATGTGTGGATGTTATGGGTAGGAGAGTTTCCGACTTTCGTGTCCTGATCTGCAATGTGAGATCATCTCAAGCTGATGGTCATCTGTTATTGGAAATATTGTGTACCCATGTAATATTATCGAGCATAAGCACTTCTCGTGTAATGCACAAATACATTTATCGTGATTGAAAACAGTTTTATCCTGTGATTTTGCTGAATGTTATGGGCATTAGTGACACCTGTGCTCAATTGTGTAGTCTCTTATATGATTATATGATAACGAAATATGCCCCTCACCATCTGGCATCAACTCACCGAGACTTCATGTTCATATTTTCTCAATCGTGACCAGTGCAAAGACGGTATTCAGGAATAATACATGTATCAAAATGCGTCATCACATTTGGAACAGGGCCACAGGCGGTCACAAATACACACACACATTGGCACCTTATATGTGATCGACAACACAATCCACTCTCAGACGGAACATGTGGAATATGAGACACACTTTATCCCATTCTGACATAGTCAATACCCACAGCGAACAATGGAAACGAATGCAACACGTTTGACCTCACCACGACCGCACGATATCACTGAACAGGAAGACGCTACCATTCAGCTGGCGGCAACCGTAGCCGCTCATTTGGCACATGTCCGTCTCCATCCCACCTCCCCCGAGATCTCCGTCAAAATGACCCCCTCCCCCTCATTTTCTTGTCTATCACCTCGCGGCAGGACTGACTGCCCCAGCGACCGGCCGGCGCAGACCTCCCCTGGTGCGCGGGGACAGAAGCTGAGATTGTCCAACGCCCCGACAGGCGGCGCTCGGAGCAGTCTTGCTGTAATCGCTCCAGCTGAGGCGAGACAGCGCCTCGTGCAGGGCGGCGCGCGTGGAGGCGAGGGCGCCCGGATCCGCCGCCCCCGCCCCCGCCCCCGCCCCCGCCCCCGCCACGGGAGTAGCTTCGCCTCCAGACGGCAGCGGCGTCCGTTCTGGAACAAGGGTCGAACAACGTCACAAAGACAGCCAGAGAAAGTCCGATCACAAGAACAGACACCAAAGACGGAGCTCGTGTTCATTTGGGCAGACAGGGCTGGCCAGTGGCCTCACCGTTCCGTGCTTCTATCCTCAGGATACTGAAATAATTCTCCTCCACACCGCAACCCCCTCCGGGCTGGACAGGCAACTTTATCTCATGCGGGCTGCTCCCTTGAAGCGGCACCGCTGCTCCCGAGGGAGCGCACTCCGTAGCCGGGTGCAGTGAGTGCCTTGGGGCTGGGTGGCCTGTCCTCTGGACGGGCCACTCTCCCCCTAATTCCTATCATCCTTCCGGCTCTGCAATGGTTTTGTCAGACCGAAAGGGCCTAACCCAACAAAACAAACAAACAAAAACAAACAAAGCCAGTGGCCTCGCTCGAGCGGCGTTGTCGCTACTTACCGGTAACGCTCAGCCGCTGCGACAGAACCGTGGTGCTGGAGGTCCGTGAGGAGCAGCGCTGGCAGTCCGACTCGATCCCCAGGTCCGGCGACGAGTAGGCCGGCTGGCCGCAGCTGCCGGCACCGGACAGGGGTGAGATAAATCCACTCAGGGACAACGACATTCGAAGAAGCGACTAAGTCTACTCGATCACTCAATTCCAGCTGAAAACCTGCTCGCCCGTCCCCAGTCTGTCGGCCGCGCGGTGCCACTCTCCCCTCACCTGGTTCGCAGCGGCTCGAGCGGGTCCGACTCGGAGTGGCTGCTGAGCCGCGGCCCGCCCGGGGAGGAGGGCGCCAGCGGCAGCTCACAGCTGCGTGTCGACTCTGGACACGAGTGGCCCGCCTCTGTGGAGCGGGGAGGGGTGGCACGGGCGCGCACAACGCCGTGAGAGGAGCAGACCGCACACGGACGCACAGGCAGGCATAAACGGGAGCGGAGAGAAATGTGGCGTTAAATGGAACTAAACGCAACATGAAGCTTTTGAGGTGACCGTGAGATAGCAGAACTGATACGATCCTGGTCAATTCAACAACAAATAAAAGTGCGCTGGGGGAAATATAAACAAGAACAATTCGTACAAAGGTAACGAACCGTCATAGTCGTGGGCGTTGGCGCGCATTTTATCGATCTGAGCTCGCGCCTTTTCCAGTTGTTCTGTGAGTTCCCTGACCAGCCGGCTCTCCTCCGGGGCTGGTGTGTTGCTGTTCCTTCTCCTCCGCCGCTGCTGAGACTGCTGCTGCAGTTGTTGTTGCTGGTGCTGTTGATAGTAGTGACTGTAGTCAGACTGACCCGCCGCCTCCGCCACCGCCGCCGCCGCCTCCTCGGCCTCTGCCTCGGCCCGCTGGCTCTCGTGCACACTCTGCCGGCTGTGCAGCAGGCGCGCGCGGCTGCGCAGCCGGGCGATCTCGGTCTGCACGCGCAGCCGCTGTCTGCCCAGCTGGAGCAGCTGCTGTTCGGCGTGCCGCACGCGCTGCTCGGCAGCCGCCGCGCCGCCGCCGGCCGCCGGCAGCTGGTGCAGCTGGGCCGACAGCTGTCGCACCAGCTGCTCCAGCTCCTGCTGGCGCTGCTCGGACCGCTGCAGCTGCAGCTGGAGCCGCCGCAGCGCGCCGCCGTCTGGGCGGTCCGGCTGGCGGCGCGCCGCCTCGGCCAGCCGGGCCCGCTCCGCCTCCGTCTGAGGGCACACAGCACACGTGTCAGGAACGTTGTCATATACACGGGGCACATGAAACACTTACAAACAGCAGTCAGATCATTGGTCTGATCAGATAGCCGGACCCCTCCCTGTCGCTGTTGGACCATCTCCTCCCCAATCGGACCCCTCCTCTCCATTCAGACTCCCTCTCCTTCCTTGCTGCGCTCTCACCTGCTCGAGGCGCTCTGAGAGCCTGCTGAGCTGTTGGGCGGCCTCGTCCCGCTGCTGCTGCAGCTGCTGACGCTCGTGCTCGACCAGCTGCAGCCGGTCGCGCGTCAGCTGCAGCCGGCTGCGCAGCCGCTGAGCGCGCTGCTGCGCAGCCGACAGCTGCTGAGTGCTCTCCGCCAGCTGCTCCTGAGTGATCTGTCAGAGGGAGGAGCGGCTGGGTGTGATGACTGAACGGGCTAGGGGGAATATTTACAGCGTGTGGTGCTTCGTATTGCGTTCCAGAAAACCTAGCGACAAGTAAAATGTAATGAGAGATGATGGAAGCCGCACACTGCATTATTCAGCACAAGGGAATTGCACGATCGCATCTGTCCGTGCGATTACATATATGTTACCATGGGCTTTGTTGAGTGTTGCATGCTTTGCACTATGTGCGTCATGTGAGGGTTTTGTAATTCAAATGCGAACATGACGATGCACTCAGTGAGGTTGAGTTACAACTTAACCCTCGCCCTGGCAGGGGGGGGGGTCGATGCGACCCCCCCCCCCCTAAGGTTTTTCGAAGCTAGCGTAAAAACGGCGGCGGCGGCGCGCAGCGCCGCCAAATTTGGCACAGCTTATGGGGCAACCTTTTTACATATGACCTGAAAATTTCAGTTCCGGGTGACCTTGGGTCAGGTCACCATGTCAGAAAAACCGGTACAAGGTCATGGTCAAATTTCAATTTTCTTTTTGCACCTGTCCAACTCACAGTTTTGGACTGATTTCCTTCAAACTTTCAGGATGTGCTAAGTTCACCGAGTTGTATAGCATATAGTTCGGTTTTTTTGAGGTCACTGACCTGAGGTCAGTTAGAGGTCATTACGTCGTAATGTTAAGCCTATGGGAAAATACTAAATTCGGAAAATACTGGAGATAGGGGAGAGCGGGGAGAGTTGTATCATGTCCAAGTTGTATCAGGGCGAATTGTGCGAAACTTATCCAATTGATGGCGCTCGTGATACGACCAGCCGACGAGGTTTTCCGGGCGCCATCTTTCCCTGTTCTGTCGTGTGGCTGGGTGGACAAGTCTCGAGGTGAGAGCCGATTTTATGTTTTTTTAATGTCATTCTAAAAAAATAAGTTGCAAGAAAATGTGTGTTTTGGACATTTAGATGTGCACGAATTTGAAAGATCTCCGTAGCGGTGGTGAGGGTAGGTTCTAAGGCTGCGTGAGTGAAAATGGATTTCTCCAGCTGTCCGCTGTTTTTGAGCACGAGGATGTTTTTCTAAGATGGCGGCGAGGTACATGTTGTATCAGAGCCGGGTGGGGTATGTTGTAACATGTATGTATGTATGGGTATGTTGCTTTTGATCGCGAAAGCTAAGCCCTGGCTCGCGTTTGTAGGTAGCTAGTCAATACTGGTTCCATTTTGGCACAATGTGTTGGCTTCTTTGCTCTTAACGGGCCACTTTTGCGTCTAGTCTGTTGATGTTTCGTTCGTTTCGATGTTTCGTTCGGATTGCATTGACCTAAGTTTGGTCTAATAAAAGTGAAGCCTTTGAGCATATACATTGTATCAACCCCATTTAATGTTGTTGTTATGCTCAAAACCCAGTAGCAAGCACACTCCCTGAAACGTGAAATACCTGGTGATACAAATTACCCCACCATGTGATACAACTCACCCAAGCCATGGGGCAAGTTGTATCAAAAACATTGTTCTATTCGGCAGACCGTAGAAGAAAAACTGGTAGAGGTAGCGGAAAAGTTACTTTGCACAAAAAAGCAGAAGAATCAAGGAAGGAGATAGTATGGAAATAATGAGTTTATCACGGATAGTTACGAGGTTATGGGTCTCGGAGTAAAAACTGATACAACCCACCCCACTCTCCCCTATCCGCTTCGTTCTATCACTTTTGTGCTTTGAAACCACAGTACGTAACAGCAGGTCACTTGGTGCTTCTTAGTTTGGTGTTCTTATCCATGGGTCAGGTCAAATGAGGTCAACTGAGGTCAAATGACGTTTTTGCCAATAACTTGGCACATAATGACGCTAGAGCTTAAAAAATGGTATCATTGTGTTCCTGGTGATCAGGCGAATCGAATGATATACGATATGATGCAATTTGGTTAACTTGAACTTAATTTATAAATTTAAGTTTACTTAATATTTAAGAAAAACTTTAAGTACACTTAAGCAAGCTAAATAGTATATCATTCGGCGCGCCTTGACGTGCTGAGTTCACTGGTGCTTTTCTTTTTGCTCTATCTTAATTAGATGAAAAGTTATAAGCGAAAAACTTTTGACCTGTTTTTAGCGAAATTTTTACATTTATACCCCCCAAAACCCCCCTAAATATTGACCTAGAGCAACCAAATTTGCAGAGGGGCGAGAACTCCAGGGGGCCCACCTACCTACCAAATTTGGTGTTTCTAGGTGCCATAGGAGCCAATCGCGAGGGGGGTCGCATCGACCCCCCCCCCCCCTGCCAGGCCGTGTTATGAAAAATGCCCTGCCAGGGCGAGGGTTAAATATGGATGTCGCCTCATTCATTTCCCGATGCTGTCCCCTTTCGTGCAATACACATTGCAATACTGATGAAATCTTCACTGGGTGCATTAAAGCAACGATGCAAGCATGTGTAAATCACAACGTGACGAAACATCTACGTACAGCAGATGCCATGTCAGTAGCTGCATAGCTCGAGTTCGTTCAAAACAAATCAGCATCTTGTGTGCAAGAACCTAAGTTTTGAAAGGAAGCACTGTGAGACCTGGACGATCACGCAAACTAGATAGAAAACAATCAGAAGTTCAGTCGTAGGTCCGCAAAGTGTCGTGTTCGCTGTGTCCGAACCGACCAGTCCGATGCTTACCGTGAGCGCCAGCGTCAGCTCGGGCGGCGGCGGGGACCTCCGCTCGGCCTCCCTCCGTCCGCAGAGCCGGCCGCTGGCGGCCACGGCTTCCTCCAGTCGCCGGTGGAGCTGCTGGACGTCCTCCAGCACCGCCACCGGCACCGTCACAGCCTGCCGGGGACGCGCGGAGGGCGGCGTCAGCGCGGGAGTCAACAGGAGGATCAGGGGCAGATAGTTGCGATCGCGAACAATCAAAGGAATCCCACTGGAACCCGTTTCCTGCCACTCTCGCGCAGCATTAGGTATAACTAACCTGTTGTTGGGAGGTGGCTCCGGCGCCGGTGACCAGTTTCTGGCAGATGGCCACCTCTGCCCAGAGGCCGTCCCGCACGTGTCGCAGACCCTCGATCCGACCCTCCAGTTCCCGCAGCTCGGTGGAGGAGTGCCGGCGGACGGAGCGGCCTGGGGAGGGAAGAACGGCGTCAGAGACAGCATCATTGCACTGCGAAGTGCGAGGCGACAAAGGATAGGAGCACGTTGCAAGATGATTATGCTGAGATACCAGCGCAGCATGAAGGATTCATAGACTGCTGATCTGATCTGAAGCAAGAAACATCTGATTTTACCAGGTTGCCATTTGACTAGGCATCGCCCCTGCTGTGTCTGAGCTTGTATTAAACCCTGACTCCCACTGACCTCTCCTGGTGTCAGTATCTGACCCCAGTGACCTGTCCTGGTGTGTGACCGCCACTGACCTGTTCGGGTGTCGGTGTCGGTGGTGGCCTCGGCCGGCGGCGGCTCCAGCGAGCTCCTCTCCAGTCCGATCCGGGCCCGGCTGACGCTCCGGTCCGGCTCGGACCACGTCTCCCAGTCACTGTTATCGGCCGTCGGAGGGACGACCAGACTGTCACAGCGGGCTAACGACACCGACATCGGGCCTGCCGCCGTCAGAGCAGCGGGACTGGCTGTCAGTGGCGATCTCCTCAGCTCGACGGCGGTCTGATCCAACTCCTGGTGTCGCTCATCCATCTCCTGACCCTCCTGCTCCTGACCCAGGCCGTGTGAGAGGCCGGCTGCCGGGAAGTCCAGACTCTCGGAGCGCAGTCGCGGCATCGAGCCCAGCCAGGTGGCCAGGTCGACACCGGGGCTCTCGGAGCTCTGACCGGGGCTTTCGGAGCCCTGCAGGAGGTCCTCGCGGGACTCGGAGTGTGAAGCAGGCTCGGGGATCACCTCGACACCCTCGGTGCTGGACGCCGCGGCCTGCCGCAGACGGGACGGTTTTCATTGAGACATGCACAAGACCGGGCATGACGATTTATCGAGGAGCAGACAGGACATGGGAGGTGTCTTCAAGTGTTAGTCTCGGTTTGACTTATTTATGGGCTGACGGCAGGGCAGTGGTGGTTTCACTGCCTCCTGTCCTGACTGTTTTCCCAGGCAAACCTCATACGCGATCATAACGAATGATATAATGATTCGTTAACGAGGTCATAACGAATGATATTACCGACAGATTGCGAGGGTGTCCGGTTTCAAAACATTCCATAAGACGTTTTATGCCGTCACTCCCTCCCCGCCGGATCTCGCTACCCGAAGCTCCCATCCTATCGCATCGCTCCGTCCGTTCATCCGCCTCCCTGCAGCCTCACCTGTGACTCGAGGGACGCGGACGGTCGGCGCTGCTGCAGCAGCAGGCGGTCCCGCTCGGCTCGGCACTCTGCCAGCTCGGTCTGACCGCGGCGCAGCTGCTCGGAGACGGTCTGCACGCTGGCCTGCAGCGAGCGGACCCGCTCCAGCTGCAGCTGCAGCGCAGCCGCCGCCATCGCCTTCTCCAGCCGGCGCTCAGAGGCGACGGCGGCCAGCTGCCGGCGCAGCTGCTCCACCTCCGACCCCGGCTCCTCCGCCGTCTGTCCGCCGGCAGCTGGGGCGGAACGGGGCTCCTGCAGGTCGGGAGGCCATGAGAAACACGTCAGAGGCGCCGAGCTTCTGGGATACCTCATCTGTCCCATAGGTCGAACCTCTCTATGCGTTCATGGGCCAGACCAATTACAGGTCAATCGCCCAATGTTCGTCTCCCTCGTGTAACTAAGGACGAACTAAATGGGAAGGAGGTAAAAAAAGAAATTTAGACAGGGTACGGCTGTCGGGATCCTCACCTGAGTACTGCTGGTCTCCTGCGGTGACCGACGGCTAACCAGGGTCTCCAGCCGGACGTTCTCCTCCGCCAGTCGCTGGCCGCGCCGCGCCTCCTCCTCGAACCTCGCCTGGAGGTCCCGCAGCTCCTCCTGCAGACGACTCCGCTCCTGCTCCGCCCGACTCCGCTCCTCCTCCCAGTCCCTCTCCTGCTGCGCCCGCTCTGCCTCTGTGACGGCGCGCGCCGCGGCGGCTCGCCGCTGCTCCGTCTGCAGCGCTCGGAGGGCGGCCTCCAGGCGGCTCCTCTCGGCCTCTGTGGCCTGGTGGTGGTCGAGCTCGGCGCGGTACTGCGCCTCCAGCTCCTCCAGCGTGTCCTCCAGCAGCGCCCGCTCCGTCTGCTCCTGACGCGCGCGCGACTGCTGCTCGCTCTGCCGCTGCTCCAGCGCCTCCAGCGTCTCCGAGGCGCGCCGCAGCAGGGCGCTCTTCTGGGCCAGTTCCTCCCGCAGTGCCGCCGACTGCACCTGCAGGGCGGCACGGAAGGACGGGAGAGGTCAGCAAAGGTCATCATAGGCTGTTAGACAGCAGAAAGATGGAACTGATCGCTTGGAAGCGCCTAAGACGGTCTACACTAAACGCAGTGGAATCACAAGAGACACGATCACACAGGTCTGATTCGAAGAAGTGTCTGAACGCCACTACAAGAAGAAACACCTATGAAAAGTTCAAGAGAAGTTATCATCATCCGTGTAGGTATGCCAAAAAATGGCGTTTTACATTGCCTCGCACCAAAAACGGTCACACAGTTAAAATGATAGGTGTAATTATGATTATGCACCTTGAGTTCAGCCAGGGCTTTGCTGGAACCATCATTGGAGTCCTGACGCTGGAGTCGCTCCTCTAACATGTACACGCGCAGCTTCAGCTTGAAGTTCTCCTCCTCGAGCGACTTTTTCTGGTGCTCCTGCTCGCGGAAGGAGTGGCTGCCGAATGACACATCGCTCCGGCAGGCTGCAAACAGGCAACAACGACGCGTCAGGGTCGGACAATTCAACGACAGCGTGAAGGTCAACGGGCTGTAGAGGCACGCCACTGACATCATCCGCAGAACGAGGAGCAATGAGGCTGTTAAGGAAGTGACCCTGCAATGACTGCAGACTGAGACGCAGAATGACACCATCATGCCTGATGTTATCCTTCTAATTATTTCAGCAGTGAGGCTACATTTCACAATGCAGGGCGACGAGCATAACCTGTTGATATTGTGCCATTATCATCATCATAACCAGTCGCAGCCGAAATGAAGCAGCTTGGACTACGTCCAACGACATCCACCAAAACGTCCATCCATCTCAGCAGTCGGAAGCCGTTACCACTCCCCACAGCTGTCGGCACATCGTCTGTCCGAGCCCCCCCCCCCCCGCCGAGTGGCTGCTCGTTGGAACAAACAGGTCTGAAGGCCTGATGAGAGTGCCCCCCCCCCCCCCCCCCGAGGGGCGCGGTGTTGACGGACGAGCCGCAGACGTGCCGAGAGACCGGAACTGGAGCGGCACAGACGCTCCTCTACTCTACCAGACGTCCCTCTGACCTCCACCAGACTCCCTCGTCTCTTCCCGCGCCTCCTGCGCATTACAGAGCACAGGCTCATTGGATTTGGAATGGTTAGACCGTCTCAGAGCTCCCGGGAAGGAGAGGACGTGTGAAAAATGATCGAGTCCAGCCTAGTCAATTGGATAATGGAATGGATAATACGTAGCGTCCCTGGTTTCGCTAAAACGTCCTCTTACGTTCTTTTGAAACAGTTCCAGAAGAGGAGCCCGGCTACGTCCCCATCCGCCCAAGTAGGTAGGCACTCATTCGGACTCTAAAGCTCTGAGGTTTTGCATCAGAGTGAGCTGTCTCAGCGGCACCGGTGGCAAATGGCCGCAGCTAAAGTGCCGTCACTGTCGACAGATGGCGCTGTGCGAATTGATCGCCACCAGCCGTGCCCTGAACAAACGGCCGGCGCCTGGCCGTTCGTTCCAGATGGTGGTGGATGGTGCGTTCGGAAACGGCTGCTCTGGCAGCCAGCTGGAGACTCGGGGCTCCAGTCACACACGGCGAGCTGGGACTGGTGTGGAGCATTTGACGAGATAATCGAGCTGGAAGCCGAGTTTGTCTCCAAGTTCAATGTATGATAATAAATAGAATCACACTCAGGGCACCTAAGCATAGCATCGGTATGAAACCTTAAAAGCTTCATTCTTGACTGGACTTCAAGTTTGGCCTTTCGCATGGAAACTTCAAACAAAGCATCGCATTCGGCATGCGTCACTGACGTGAACACTGAACAGCCGATACGAGCACACCTTCCACCCCGTCAATCGTTAGCCGTTTCAGCGACGCATTTCTCTCCTGTGTGTATAGGAATAGGTATCGTTTTACCGGCGATGGTAAGCTGATCCTGGTGAATGCCAAATTACTCATACCGGCGTCGGCCGGTAATCAAGGCCGATACCGGAGCCGGCCAACATGAAAACATGCCGGGCGGCAAACCCTCCCGCCCCCTCGGCAGGCCTGCTGACCGCACCTGCCTTCAGGCGTCAGCGCAGAGGCCTCAGGCGTTTGTAAAGACCTGCTTCGACTTTCAAGACTGTAAACATTCACAAATTTGAAAACCGCCCTACACAACAACAGAAAACGTCTTATCGCATAGTCGTATATGTTCACAGTGAGTTTCATAAGTACTGAGCTTCGGGTGTTTATATGAAGGAAAAACAACCGCCCGTTAACCAAACATTTCTGTCGGAGATCCGTAGGTATTTACATATTTGGGACGCTGGCCAGAGCCACCCCCGGGCGGCCGGCTGGTTTGCGCCGCCCCGAGGCGGTCTAGCGGCAGGCAGAGGCACGTGCCACGCCACCGAGTCAGTTACCCCTCCCCGCCGGGCCGCCGGGAGCAGCCGTCCATTTTCATTCCGCTAATCAAGTCCTGGGGCTGCATCGGCGGACCGTGGACCGTGGGCGGGCAGTCTGCACCAGATGCAGAGGTCACCCGAGGACGGACCGAGGACGCAGGGCGGGACGGCGCAGTTCGCGACCATTCCAGGCCGTGGCGTCCCATCACCCTCGTCCTTCATACCCTCCGCAGCCTCCCTGTCGCCGCCCCTGCCCCCTCCCTGCATCCGCCCCTGCCGCCCCTCCCTGTATCCGCCCCTGCCGCGGCCTCCTTGCCTCCGGCCGCGTATATTCGAATCCAGTATGAGTAGAGCATGGGTCCCGAAAAATTCTTCAGAAACTAGAGAAATTCTCGCAGGGCAAGACGACTGTCAAACTAGCAGCGAGCAGCGAGCAGCGAGTCCAGCAGCGAGAAACGGGCCATCCCGATTTAGCTGAAAATTTGCTCACAGAGCCTTCTCAGCACGCTGATTCCGAAAATCATGGTCTCTAGGGTGGGAATCTTTACCGTTCTCGAGATAGAACCCTCTAAAGTTTTCGACACCCATGACCGGGCCATCCCGATTTGGCTGAAAATTGGCTTACAGAGCCTTCTCAGCACGCTGACTCCGAAAATCATGGTCTCTAGAGTGGGAATCTTTACCGTTCTCGAGATAGAACCCTCTAAAATTCTTACCAAACATGACCGGGCCATCCCGATTTGGCTGAAAATTTGCTCACAGAGCCTTCTCAACACGCGGATTCCGAAAATCATGGTCTCTAAGGTGGGAATCTTTACCGTTCTCGAGATAGAACCCTCTAAAGCTCTTACCACCCATGACCGGGCCATTCCAATTTGGCTAAAAATTGGCTCACAGAGCCTTCTCAGCACGCTGATTCCGAAAATCATGGTCTCTAGGATGGGAATCTTCACCGTTCTCGAGATAGAACCCTCTAAAGTTTTCGACACCAAAGACCGGGCCATCCCGATTTGGCTAAAAATTTGCTCACAGAGCCTTCTAAGCACGCTGATTCCGAAAATCATAGTCTCGAGGGTGGGAATCTTTACCCTTCTCGAGATAGAACCCTCTAAAGTTTTCGACACCCATGACCGGGCCATCCTGATTTGGTTGAAAATTTTCTCACAGAGCCTTCTCAGCACGCTGATTCCGAAAATCATGGTCTGTCAAATCGACCGGGCCATCCCAGTCAAATCGGGATGGCCCCCCAGTAAACATGCCGACGTCGGCCCGACGTCGGTCCAACCTCGGCACGACGTCGGCTGGATGTCGGATATGCCCGCATGTTCCGACGTCCAGCCGAGGTCAAGCCGACGTCGGGCCGACGTCGGACCGAGATCAATTGCTGAGGTCCAGCCGACGTCGGGCCGACGTCGCGGCGACGTCGGACCGACATCGGCCGCTGTTTTGACCGTTAAAATAATATAAAATACATGTTATGTTTCATAAAGAGCTTCTGTATTCAAAACATCCTCAAGAAACTCAAATCTTTCTCCACGCCGCAACCCCCTGATCCGGACTGGACGGGAAACTTTATCCCATTTGGGATTGCCCGTAAGCCGAGCTCGCCCGTAGCCGGGTGCGGTGAGTGCTTGGGGGCTGCTCGGCCTATCCTTTGGTCAGGCTCAGCCCCGGCAACTCACCAGGGCTGCACTGAAAACAATTTAACCCAAGGCTGGCGAGTAAAGCGGTGTTTTACGGGTACCCCTATCCGCAACCATTTTTAACCACCCTCCCAGGAGTAGTGCTAGGTCCCATTGCGGTGTAGTCGTACTTGCTCTGAGCGGATATAACCGCTGTCAGCGAACAAGTCCGCTGAGAGCAGGGACGACTACACTGCAATGGGACCTTACTGTACTACTTGGAGGGTGGTTAAAAATGGTTGCGGATAGGGGTACCTGCAAAACACCGGTTTACTAGCGGGCCTTGGGTTAAATTGTTTTCAGTGTGGGCCCAGTTCATATAGAAAGGCCAGTCGGCAAGTGTCACTTTGGCAAAGTGCCACTTATCAAAGGGACACTTTGGGAAACGTTGGTGCAGGTGTGTAAGAGTGACTATATGAATCCATTGTGGGGTCGCCCTTTCCAATAAGTGTCACGTAACAGCAATGGGACCAAGGACTGAGCTGGACCCAGGGTGCTCGCCAAGAAGACCAATGTCTCCATCCTATGATCCTTCCGGCTCTGAAATGGTCTTGTCAGACCGAAAGGGCAAAACCCAGCAAAACAAACCAGACTCGTTAGCTGGCTGCGTGGTGTAGTGGTTAGCGTGCTAACCTCGCGTTCGAATGACACGGGGTTCGAGTCCCATCGCCGGCTGATGCTTTTGGCGTGTTGTCCCAGTAAACATGCCGACGTCGGCGACTGGGGGGCTCGAATCCCGCCGCCGGTTGATATTTTTGGCGCGTTGTCCCAAGAAACATGCCGACGTCGGCCCCGTCGGTCCAACGACAAACGATCTCGTCAACCTCGGCAAACGATCTCGGCCCGACGTCGGCTCGACGTCGGCTGGACTTCGACTGGACATCGGAACATGCGGGCATATCCGACGTCCAGCCGATGTCGGGCCGAGGTTGAACCGACGCTGGGCCGACGTCGGGCCGAGCCTCGGCCCGACGTCGGGCCGACGTCGGCATGTTTACTGGGCCGGTCATGGGTGGTAAGAGCTTTAGAGGGTTCTATCTCGAGAACGGTAAAGATTCCCACCCTAGAGACCATGATTTTCGGAATCAGCGTGCTGAGAAGGCTCTGTGAGCAAATTTTCAGCCAAATCGGGATGGCCCGGTCATGGGTGATAAGAACTTTAGAGGGTTCTATCTCGAGAACGGTAAAGATTCCCACCCTAGAGACCACGATTTCCGGAATCAGCGTGCTGAGAAGGCTCTGTGGCCAATTTTCAGCCAAATCGGGATGACCCGGTAATGGGTGTCGAAAATTTTAGAGGGTTCTATCTCGAGAACGGTAAAGATTCCCACCCTAGGGACCATGATATTCGGAATCAGCGTGCTGAGAAGGCTCTGTGAGCAAATTTTCAGCCAAATCGGGATGGCCCGGTCTTTGGTGTCGAAAACTTTAGAGGGTTCTATCTCGAGAACGGTAAAGATTCTCACCCTAGAGACCATGATTTTCGGAATCAGCGTGCTGAGAAGGCTCTGTGAGCAAATTTTCAGCCAAATCAGGATGGCCCGGTCATGGGTTGTAAGAATTTTAGAGGGTTCTATCTCGAGAACGGTAAAGATTCCCACCCTAGAGACCATGATTTTCGGAATCAGCGTGCTGAGAAGGCTCTGCGAGCAAATTTTCAGCCAAATCGGGATGGCCCGGTCATGGGTGGTAAGAACTATAGAGGGTTCTCTATCTCGAGAACGGTAAAGATTCCCACCCTAGAGACCATGATTTTCGGAGTCAGCGTGCTGAGAAGGCTCTGTGAGCCAATTTTCAGCCAAATCGGGATGGCCTGGTCATGGGTGTCGAAAACTTTAGAGGGTTCTATCTCTAGAACGGTAAAGATTCCCACCCTAGAGACCATGATTTTCGGAATCAGCGTGCTGAGAAGGCTCTGTGAGCAAATTTTCAGCTAAATCGGGATGGCCCGTTTCTCGCTGCTGGACTCGCTGCTCGCTGCTCGCTGGTAGTTTGGCAGACGTCTTGCCCCGCGAGAATTTCTCTAGTTTCTGAAGAATTTTTCGGGACCCATGCTCTACTCATACTGGATTCGAATATACGCCCTCCGGCCGGCACCGCAGGCATGTGGACAATGTCAGCGTGCTGCAGGCTGAACCGCGCGGCAGCGCTGCGGTCCGGCCGGTACAAACTCCACAGCGAGGCGGCTGGTCAGCACAGCTCAAACGCCCGGCCGTTACAGCCAGCAGTAGTTTCGCTGCGGAGTCAAATGGGGAGCGGTTGGAGTGCCAGAGCGCCGCGCTGGTCAATAAAGATGAGCCGCCCGCGTCAGAGGGTACGTCAGCTCTGCTGCTGATGTGAGCGGAGCGTGGGATGAGTGCCGCTACGCCGACACCGCGACATATAAGAGTTTCCAACGCTATCACAGGGATGCATGCAGAAACGCCCACACTACATAAAGGCCATCTTTCATACACATGGCATAGAAGTATCACATGCGTGGAACATGTCTTGCCTCGAGAGGAAGTATACGAGCAGGAATGTCCACATCCGTGACCGGGGCAACCTTTGCTGCTGGCAGGACACCAAGATCCGCAGCACATGTGGTGACGGGCGGTGGCTTCATTGCTCGGAACATGGGGTCACGCCATAATATACAACCTCCCCTGACTGGCCAGCGTCCAAGGGCACCTGCCAAAATGATCCATTATAAGCGAGCATAAACAAAGTTCATGTTCCAGAACTATGAAATTAATCGCTTCCGTTGGCAGAACCTGCTGAAAATCATATTAGTGGTCCTGGAAACGTAACAACGAAAAACTAATGGTGCTGTCTAAGGATGTGGTGAAAAATCCAAGAGGATATGTTTAATATGTTCCGTTTTGTTCAACTTGAGTGCTATGCGATCCACCGAGTCGGGAGTGCCACGTTTCTGACCTGTGATCGGTCCCGACCCAAAACCATCATGCTCCTGTCATTTCCCTGACGCTGACACTGGCCAGCGGACATAAGACCGTCGGACAGCGGACATAGGACACAGGGCAGCCGGACATCGGACATCGGCCGTGGAGACAGACCAGGCCGACTCAGCTGAGGCCAGTCGGCCGGTCTGAGATAAACAGACGCGGCGTCAGTGCCGCCCCCCAGGCGCCGACCTCGCCCTGACATAAACAGAGAGCAGGCTATACGGCTCTGACGGGTGGGACACGGGTTGCAGTGACGGCTCCGACACAGGGCAGTGTCCGAGGGGAGATGGGTGTACGGGGGGAGATGCCCCCCAGGCCGAGGTAGGACGAGATAGATGTCAGCAGGGAAGGGGTCGGACGGGGGGATGTCAGCGGAGGTACGGCTGGGTGGGGAAGATATCAGCAAGGGGAGATTGTAGAAGATGGGAGATTTTTATATGAGTATAGAGGGGAGATAGCAGTCGGCATATGGGCAGCCATCAGGGGAGAATTTCAGGAACGGAGACTGAGCAACGCGTAGACGGTTGATCATTGGAGATAAGCACCATCAGGACAGGCGTGCTGTGACCTTCTAATAAAGAAATCACCGATCCAATAAAATTGATTTTCTATAATCGCCAAAAATATTCTCTCATTTGTTTTCCATATCATGTTAAGCTACAAATTAGTGACCCTTTCTCTTGCATGCAAAAACGCCGCATGTTTGACGCTGCATCTGTCCGTGAGGATTTATCTACAGCCGCCGGTCTAAATGCGGCGCGAGACTGGCGGACGAGCGCAGTAAAACACCGTCCCTAACACCTCCTGCTGCCGGCCCAGACGGCTCCCCGGCCAGGCAGGTATTTCTGGACCGGGAGGGGAGGGGTCGGCCGGCGCCGCAGGCAGGGGGTGCCTTCTGTTTACCCCCACACTGATCAGAGCGCTGCTGCAGTGATGCAAGCGCTGAAAGTACGCCGAGCGCCTCCGCGGACTGGCCACCAGCCAGCCCCACCCCGGAGCTGGAGCTTTGCCTCTGAAAACAGGACTATTGGCCGGACCATCAGGATCGGCAGTGCAGGGGAGTCGGGGACCGAGCCACTCGACAGAAGACGGCGACTCGTCACCCCATCCCCGTCCTGTCCTGTTCCGTCCCGATCCACCTCCGTCCTGTTTCAGTCCCGTCCTGCCCCGTCTCCGTCCTGTCCCGTCCTGTCCCGCACCGTCTCCCACCCGTCCCCTCGGTCCTGTCGTGCCGTCCTCCACCGTCCGTCCCCACTCGGTCCTCGCCGCCACTGCGCCAAGATTGCATCACGGACGAAGTCCGGCCAGCGTTGCACCATACAGCCGCGGAAAATACAGGACAGATGGCGAGAGGACACCCTTGCTTCGCGTCAGCGCCCGGCGTCAAAAACAATGATCCGAACGAAACCACGGTGACGTCACTCGACGTCGGCTGAGAGAAAAGGTCGGGCCGACGACGAATATAAATTCGTCTCCGCGCTGCGTGAAAGAGGTCTGTCCGTCAGAAACGTGCTGCTCTTGGCAGCCGCTTGGAGCGGACTCGGCTCGGAAAACCGGGTCTCCAGCTGGGTCGCGTTTGACACGGCAATTCTGCAGCGCATGTGGCACATAAAATGCCTGAATTCACATCATATGTGGAATGTGGAACTTTATATTCGTCAGGTGCATGGTGGCATAGCTTGCGGACATCTGGAATAGTTAATACTGCGAATATGAGACAGGATGCGGAAAGTGATGTGCAGCTATATGCTCAGTTATTTGCATGGATATTTTATTTCATATTTCCTAGGTGGCTGCATCTATTTCTGTGTGCATGATATTGCCCTTGTGATCGAAATATACATTCTGAACAAATGCCCACGAAACGATTGATTTCAGTGTTATGACGAGTTTCAGTGCCGGGATGAACATCAAAATCGACTGGCAGACGTCAGAGTTCTATTCAAGTGTGTTCAAACGTATCCGTTTCCTTTGATCCTATGATTCGTTCAACATTCCTCAACATCGTACCTTGTGTTCGTCAGCAACGTTCTGCAACTGGGGACTGCGAATAGCCGAGGAACCGTTCGCAGATCACATTGCCAGTGGTCGTTGGAGGTGAAGGGTAAAAGTTATTCATTTTGTATCACATTTCTAACGTTTCAGGGCACACTAGTTGGAGGTCAAGGCAGATCAGGGTCGGCGTTAGGGGGTCAGTGCAAAAAATTAGTCCAACGAAGAGGATAAGAAGGTGTCGGGGTATTATCGTTTACACTTTGTTCAGTGGTGTTGCTGGATTCTTGGCATCTCTAGTAAGGATTTAACAGTCAGGTGCTGTCATACCAATGTAGAACGACACCGAATTTTCTTTACATGTCACGTATTGCGGGGTAAAAGTGCTACAGCTCGAGCGGACCGAGTTCCGCAGTGTTCAGATCCCGACATGGTGTACGGTGCATGGTGAGCTGTCCCCGCAGATACTCACGGGAGCTGGCGGCGCTGTCCGTCCGCGCCAGTTCCGCAGAGAGGTGCGACAGGTTCGTGCTGCAACACAGGGACGCGGAGAGCGTCAGCGGACCGTGGATCCCTTCCCCATCCCACACACCGGCACGGAGGGCGGTAGACCCCTTTCCCGTCCGACACACGAGTCAGAGGAGCCACTGACCCGCAGCAATGACTCGACATTAGATACATACACTGCACTTCGCAAAACGAAAGAAGAACAATTATCATTCCCCCGTCTGACATGAAACGCGCTCATGATGAGAACTGATGCGCACTGCATGCAATATATTAAATTTATGTCAATAACATCCGGTCCATGGCGCTTATATCAGCCTCTAATTTATTGATGGGAGAATGTAGACATAGCGCCCAGTTGCTGATATAAACGGTGTCAAGGCATCGCCCGGTTTATGGTTCAGACAGGTCGTTTGCTTTCTTTTCTGGGGATTCGAAGGGGTGTTGTTTGAATGACATAAATAAGCAGCATCTATTCCTTGGGAAAATTGTTGACTCATGTGAATTAGAACGTAATGCAGAGGAATTAAATAACAAACAAGGGTGAATGAAACTGGTTAAATGATGATAATTTTTTTTCAGAAAAGTGTCATGAACTTCACAATAATGACAGTAATAAGTGTAGTGGATAAAAAACGGACATATATTTATAATCCAGGGAGGAAACTGTCTTCACTTTGCCGTGAAACTATTTGTTGCTACGGTTCGGGGTGCTTGCGCATTTCGCCACTAGATGGCAGTAGCAGTGAGCGCCTGAAGTTATACTGTGCCGCATGGCTCTTATCCTGCTCGGGCCATTTGTCCCGTCTTCTTTGATGGTAATCGGAAATAAGCAGCGTCGAAAAGAGCTTACAGACACTGACGACAAGGACTAGGTATATGTTCCACCTAGGAAGCAAAGAAACATTTTAAAGGCGACACACGAGCACAGGGCCATATACCTATCTTCTGATAACCTCACACTCATTAGGTTACACACACAAACTCATGTCGAGGTGCCTGGCGGCGGTGAGGCGATAGGAAGAGCCAGGAAGTCGGACGGGAAGTCCGGCACTTCCTCTGACGTAAGAAGCAGATAAGGGACCCACCCAAGGACTTTGAACACTCGCTCAGTGAGACAGGGAGGGGCATGCGTTGTGAGAAGGTTATGTATCCATTATCCTGTGAAACTAAACATGCTAACTGCTTTTGTCTATGTATATCATGAAAAATCTTATCGATGAGCAAGTTAATGCACGTTTATGCGCACTGCCAGCATGAGCGAAACATCTTATAGAGCACCAGTATGCTCAATTCGGCCAGGTTAGTAGCACTAGCCAGCAACGTGGAGAGGTCCCCAGCCCCGGCCACGCCCATCAGCCGACCGGGCGGGGAGCACCGGACCTGCTGTCGGCAACGGCGAATCTGCGCCTTCTGCTTACAGAGCAAACACTGAGAGGCCGGGTCCCGGTCCCACCAGATGGAACGTGGATCGGCGGCACCAGCTGGCGGCGCCCCCCCCCCCCCCCCGAACACCCCCTCGACCTCCCCTCCGACCGGGGTGTCTGTGACCCCTGCCCTCCCGGGTCACTGCACTGGAGCAACCCCTGCGATCTGTGTTTGGATCTTACACGTCCCCTCAGGATTCATGGGAGCTAGGCCGCAGGCCCACCGGCAAGGCCTCCTCTCTCCCTCTCACTCTCCATCTCCGTTCCCTGCGACAGGTAGATCCATGCCAATAGAACCCTTTTCATCCTCTTCCTCCCATCTCCCCCTCTATTTCCGGTCCTCTCTCCCCTCTCCCTCGCAGTGTGCCCGCTTCCCCGCGCACACTCCAGGCAGCTTTGTGCGCCAGAACTGCCAGACCTCGCAGCCTTTGTCCGTCGCTCGCAGCGTCAATGCTCGCAGCCAGGGAGGCGAACCGGGGTTCTAGTATGGCAGGCGTAAGGCCAGAGACTGGGGATTTGGTTGGATAGGCGATTCTGTGGTGGTGACAGGTCTATAATGGACGGATCTCAAACAACGCGTCTTCTGCTATCGGTTAATTGATGGCACGAGGTTACTATAAAAAAAACGGAATAATTCACAAGCGACCGCAGCTCGATAAAAGAACATCAAACATGAGTCTATTCCATGGCCATTGCAGACTGGGTGGTAGTTCTATTGGCTATACGTTAGACGGGTCTTGTTGCAACTCACTTAGCCCTCGCCGGACCTATTGGTTTTCTACATACGCGCCGGCCGAGGGGGGGGGGCGGGTACGACCCCCCCCTCGCCGTTTCGCCCCTGGTGGAGCTAGCGCGTCGCGGAAAAAACGAGCGTGTGCGCCGTTACGAGACGCAGAGATTGGTACCCGATTTTAAGGTCCTAGGTCAACCGGTGACCTCTGAGTCAGGTCAAGTGCCCCAGGGTACGGTTCAGTTTTTGGTGAATAACTTCGCAAAAAACGGCCGCAGAGCCGCGATTTTGGCAGCATCGTGTTTGCCTTGCTCAGGCGCGTCGAATGATATACTTTTTGTTCGGGTCAGGTCAACTTAGGGTGTTGACCTCAGGTCAAGGTCAGGTCAGCACCCCCAGGTCACGAAGTTGGTCGAAAGAGGTCATGTCGCATATCATTCGATTCGGCAGGTCTTCCTGAGTCCAGTGGTGGCTTTCCCGACTCGCTAGCTCAATTTGATCGGGAGTTATTGACGAAAAACTAATATGACCTTGATGACGTCATAAATGACGTCACGCAAGATCAACATTGCAAAAGTGACGCATCTAACCTTGCAAGGAGTGCATCAAATCACGATTCTGTGTGCTTGAGATAGTTGGAGATCGTTTCCGGCGCCAGAATAGCAGTTTGAATTTTTCCCCATTGACTTATAATGGTGAGGTCACGAAAATGACCTGACCTCATATGACCTTTAGGAAAAATCCGAGATATACAAGTTGTGAGACTCATAATGGATACTAGATCCTGCAAGTTTCATTTCCCTGTGACATCTCCTCTGGCAGTGAGGGCGTTGCGAAGTTGCGACATCTGAAGACCGTGCAGAGGTTCACTTATGACGTCATAGGTCAGTGACCTGACCTGACCCAAAAATGCGGTTGGTGTCAAAAGATGCGGCTTGGATCAAAGGTCAGGTATGCCAAGTTTCAGCTCTCTATCGCCAGCGTGTTCGGAGCTATCGCGAAAAAACCCTATGGGGGGGGCGGCACCCGCCCCCCCCCCTCGGCCGGCGAGGGTTAATAAACATTCTGTAAACAAAAACAAAACACAATGTGTGGGAAAGCAGGGAGCAGGTCACCTCTGTTTTCTATTTTGGATCACTGAATTTCGTCACTTTGAAATCGAGGGATGGTTTCGTCATATCAAGGTGCGATATATCTATATCGTTGGCACAGACCAACACAAAATTAGCTTTGTGTTTGGGATTTCGTCAGCTGGCACGGTGTGCAGGCACTCACAGGCACATGGCCAAAAATCTGGAGTCATGCATCATACTCCGAGTCGAGTTCCGTTTTCTTTTGACTTCAATAGAGTCGCTTTGAACTTTTCTTTGAATTTCATCCTGCACCTTTCTAATAACTTTCTCGAACAACAGGTATACCTAATTCGTGGTAAGGAAAGCCACCGAGCAAAACAAGTTTGGTTCCATCGGTTTGAGCCCAACACTGCGGTTACCACGTCAAGAAGCTGTGATTTGTGATAGAGAAAATATTGCGAACATTTATGAGAATATGCGAATGTAACGGTCGGCCGGACGTCGGCGACCCGGGCCATTGAGGCCAGGGCCGGAGTCGCTCGTCGTTCCTCGTGGTCGCTGACGCGTCGACTGTCGAACAGACTCATCACATGGATGGATCATCGACAGTGGGGAGGAGCCAACGGTACTTACCAACTTCTGTCAGACTTACTGCACGGCAAACGGAATGGCAGTCGCCGAGAGCAGCAACGTTTCTGCTTACTGTCTAGAGGTCATGAGGAAACCGTTTGATTGTAAGGATTTAGGGGCGAGTCACCGACGAGTGAGGTAAAGCCTTCTCCCTCCACGTCCTAAGAAAAAAAAAAAACGCAAATGGTAAGGAAAGCCACCGAGCAAAACAAGTTTGGTTCCATCGGTTTGAGCCCTACACTGCGGTTACCACGTCAATATTCTAAAATTACACGTTGCAGCTTTTACATTTTACTCGCCTGGAAGCAACTTTTTTATGATCCAGTACTTCTTTATCTGAACCCATATTTAGAAGGGCACTGACAGCTGATGTGTAGTCGGCTGATGGTCGGCCGACAAGTGCTGATTAAAACAATCTCCAGGCGACACGATCGGTAATTAAGTTGACCACGAAAAAGTGACGAACCAATAAGGGCATGATACATTTGGTTCAATATGTGACACGTTATTATTTTACTTCAATCCGGTGTTTTGTCTTTCCGTAGGAATTGCAACGAACAATGGCAGAGAAGAAGTGAGCATGTTAGAAGACGCACTCAATCTGCTGAACTCGGGAAAGGCGTCAAACTCACCGTTTGTAACCATTTTTATTTTCACCGGGTGACCAAGTCTATTAGGTACTGAGGGCTGCTCGAGTTGAATAAACCCCTGGAGGCTTTTATCTTTTAGGGGCTTGCCATAAGGCAAGTCCCTACCTAGTGTTACTATCTATTGCAGTATTTTTCAAATCGTATGTTTGTCTAAGCCTGCACGCGGCTCGGTAATAAACCATAGCGTCCATTGGGAACTGCAAACATACTGCCACGAATGCAAACACCGCGGCAGCGGGAGTGCGCTGCTATCTTATCGTCTGAGGACGAAAAAGCTGATCTGTCTTTATGAGCTGGACTGCTATCGCCATCACCCGGTGGTCCGTGCCAGCTCAGTCTCATAGATAAACGGTTATTTGCATTGCACACTGACCACACGCATTCACACGTGCAAGCATTCTACATGGTCAATTTAGGGGCGTTACAGAACGGTGATGATCATTTATAATGTAAAAATTCAATAAGATGTTTGGGTTCGAATATATGGTATTAGCATACTTTGCTTCTATTTTCA